TCTGCAAATTCTTCTTTAGATAATTCAAAATAATATCGATTGTTATGGTCAACAGCTAAAATGTTATCTGGTTCATCATAAGTCCAATACGAACTATTTTCAATCTTCAAAGGTATAGGAGTCACTTTTACTAAAGTATATTCTGTTCTGTCTACGATTGGCAAAAACGTACTTATATAAATGTACTGTTTATCATGTTCAACAGCACTTATCACACAAGACGATACTACTGGCAGGTTGTCTGAAAGCTTGTTATTTGTTTTTGGGCGATTTTATTTAGGTGTGCTGGGGTTATATAGTCAAAAATGTTACCAATTTTCAGATTAGATACGACAGAGATAAAGAAACTGACACACATTGAAAAATTATTAGTCATTAAATCGTCATATATAATACAAAATAAAATGGATATAAAATTAATAAAAAAATCCAAAAACTGTTTCACTTAAATATTATCTACATCATTTTTCGTTTGTTCTTTTGATTCGCTGAAGTTTATAGGAACAACTTCGACAGCTTTAACAATCTGCACAGATTCCTTCACCGTTGTTCTTTGCTTCCGTCTTTTGAGCCAGAAATAGATCCCTATCCCCAGAACAAATGTTCCTGCTATTAAAATATTACTGGACGCGCTAAATATGATTGAATGCCGCCGAACAGATGTCCAAAGCGTATTATTTAACTGCAGTTGCAAGTTTTCTTCTTGCCCAGTTAAATCACTCATAGAATCATCAAAAGATCTCGTGGTCGAATCAATTGAAACTAGTTGTTGGAGAATAGACTCATTCTCTTTGAATGACAAATTCGATAAATCGATTGGTTTGATATACGTTGTAATGGCAGGAACGGTATCAGTTTTTTTAGATGCTAGAATATTTGCTTTTGTTTTTAGTATACAATCGCCAGTTATTTGGATAATGCCGCTGTTATTAAGAACAACATGTTCATTGGCATCGTTACAAATTACAGTTATATTTGTAGGGCTATTTGTAATGAACAACCATGTATTATCCATGTAAAGTTGTCTCCATATGATGTCTTTTACAAACCCTTTACGAATTTTGCATTTCATCGCATTTCTTCTATCGTAAATTTCATCCAGAAAACAATTTGGATTATTTTCGAAATTTTTTATTACTGTAGGATTACAGACATACTCGTTCTGTTTAACTGTAATTCTATCTGCAAATTCTTCTTTAGATAATTCAAAATAATATCGATTGTTATGGTCTACAGCTAAAATGTTATCTGGTTCATCATAAGTCCAATATGAACTATTTTCAATCTCCAAAGGTATAGGAGTCACTTTTACTAAAGTATATTCTGTTGTGTCTGCGATTGGTAAAAACGTACTTATGTAAATATACTGTTCATCGTGTTCAACAGAATTTCTTATCACACAAGACGATACTACTAACAGGTTGTCTGATAACTTGTTATTAGTTTTTCTGGCGATTTCATTTAGGTGTGCTGGGGTTATAAAGTCAAAAATGTTACCAATATTCAAGTAAATATTTAGTATTTTTGTGTAGAAATCGGAAATTTCATTAATAAAATTGGTCGCAACTTGGTAAACAGCAAGCACATGTATTTCCAGTTTGTTGGTGTCAGTCTTAATTGATAACCATCCGTGAGTATAATTAATGAATTCGAACGCCTTGTTAAGTCGTAATCGAAATCTTTCCTGATTATGTTTGATTCTCGAAGCGGTATGGTTGAATTCTGATAGAGCCGATATCATAATTTTCGTTTGGTGATTGGAAGTTGAGATCAGTTCCCTCTGATTTTGATCTAGAGCATCTATGTCACGGTAGACTTCGTCATTTACTCCGAAAACCTTCTGAAGGAGAGTTCCAAGTAACCCGCGTTTGGTTCTTGATTTGATGATATCAATAAGAGATTTTTTGATCCAATAAATTTGATCTCTCTTCTCCTCAATATGACGAACTAAAACATCGCACTGAATATCTTTAGCCAGACGATTGGTTGATCTGCATAGAGTTCTGAATTGATCGGTAACGGTCCCAACTGCTTTTACATCGTCTTCCAATCGACACTTTTCAAATTTGATTTGGACTCTAAGATTTCCTCTGTTGATTTTAGTGCTTCCGATGTGTTCCAGGTATAGTCCTGGTTTTGGATAATGGATTGTATATCCAGCCTGAACACATGGCATAAAAATAACAATCAAAGACAGAAATATAAAGATAATGTGGAAATTAGACCATATTTTAGTGCGAGAATTAACTATTGAGTTCGGTAGGATTTTTTTAAAAAGTGGAATTACATTGTTTTCTGCAAACCAAGGCTGTAACTGTTTGATTTGAAGAATATCATTATTGTCGTCATTTTTATCGATGTTACTCTTATTGGCCCAGTTAAAGACGTAATTTTCTCTGACTAAACATACTAAATCGCTGTTTGAACTACAAGAGTTTGTATTATTGCAATGTATCCATTGAAAAAGACATGGACTGTAGATTGTAGAGTATGTAACGTTTCTAAAAATTAAAAAATCCAATACTCAAATTTCCATATATTATGTACTAATAATATACCGGGTGCGTCTCAAAAGTGGCTCACTCCTATAACTTTTTTATTTTTTTAGTTAAAAAAACGAGATTTGGTATGTTTGTATATGACATAAATTAGGATTGATTGACGTATTCAATTGTTTTCGGTCACTTCCGGTTTCACCGGAAATGACTACAACTTTTGATTTTTAAATGGCACCTCCGGTAAACTTTTGACATTTTCGCATATGGTTTATTTGAAATTATAACTTGCGGGTCGTAACGAAAATTTGACTTAAAATACCAAGTGTGTGATATCAAATTATTCGTAAAAAATGCTTTTTCCAAATATGCTAATGAGCCACCCTCGTTCCATTTGAAAAAATTGAGATATGCTTAAAAATACGATTTAAGCATTTTCTAACTGGCCAGGACAAGACAATAAAAACATTAGACGATCAAATCTATTTTTCCAAGGCTCCTTGATGAAGAATTAGTGTTTTTAACATAGCCATGGCACTCTAGATTGAATTTTAAAATACCATTTTTTATTAAGTGAAAATGTCAAAAGTTGACATATGATTGTCATTCTATCCAGAATGTCATTTTCTATCGAATGAAGTAAAAAAATACCGAGGGTGCCATTTAAAAATCAAAAGTTGTATTCATTTCCGGTGAAACAGGAACTGACCAAAAACAATTGAATACACCCAATCAATCCTAATTTATGTCATATACTAACATACCAAATCTCGTTTATTTATCTGAAAAAATAAAAAAGTTATAGGGGTGAGCCACTTTTGAGACGCACCCGGTATAGTTATATTAAATTATGAATTCAAGTTAAGTTCCCTTGAATAAATAGTCAAATCAAATATATATTTTTTCTTACTTAGAGTATGAAACTTCGAATACAAGAAAAATCTTGGATAGAGTCTTAGATAAGTACAAATATTTTAAGGGGCAGTATATTTCGACCCCAGAAACATGTCTATGAGGTTTATTTGCGATTTTTTTCAAAATTTGGAATTTTCGGAAAAAAGTTTGGAATTTTTATTAGTTTTTAGTAAAAAAAAATATATTTTGTTTCTTGATAATATGGCAACATAGGTAGTAGATTAAATTTACAAGAAATAAACCCCAGAAAAGATCAGTGGTTCTCAAAATGTAAGCAAAAACTATATTTTTTTAAAGTTTCAAAGTAAAATAACTCGGCAATAGTTTCTTTTATCGAGATCTACCAGCCTTGAAAATATTTGCACTTATTTAAGACTCACCCTGTATATAATAATATTGTTATTCTTATTTTAGGACTGAATAACATTAGCATTGCCTAATTCTTTATTAGCCCAAAATATAAAACTTGCTATAGTAAACGCCTCGAATGTTTGGGAGTGATTCATCGGTCGCTACCATGTGAACTAATCTGTTCAAGGTCACATAAAACTTAATTCCAGTGCCGTGGTGTTTCAAGTCATATAATAATCAATATATAATCTGTTGTAATTTGTTGTTTTAACTGTCAAAGTCTTGTCAAAACATATATTTGGTTATAAATATAAAGTAAATAAAAATGGAATGCTCCATTGGTCGCATTGCAAGCACACCAATGGACTGACGCACAAAAACGAATCAATGAAAGAAACGTCTATAGTATAAAAACATAGTATCGTCTTTGTCAATCACGCTAATATTTTAGAATAAGTCGGATGAGCGCAAGCAGATGATTAGACTGGGCCTTTAAAAACCTACGTCTGCGGTAAAAATTTACGTTTTTAATGTAAAAATGATAGCGCGCGTGTCGATTCTAACTTCATCAAGCGATGAATCACTCCCAAACATTCGTGGCGTTTACTATAGAATATGGTTATCAAAGCTTCTATACTCATATTTTTTTATGTAACTCTTACTTCTACTATACAATAATACATAATAAATATAATGTGACAATTATTACTATTTTATTGTTATAATAAGAAAAAATTGAGCACATTACAAGTCATGCATAATATTACGAATTATGATATGCTTATATTTTTATACATGGTGTCTCTTTAATAAGCTCAAGTATTCTAAGGGATGATAAATTTGGTTAAAAAAAACTTTGATATTTTTAAAATAAAATGAAAATATTTTATGTAAGTTTTATTGTAGATAAGAACAAAAAATTAAAAGAGAAACTCAAATCAGAGTTTAACAAACTATATCACAAATCAATTGGAGCAAATAATAAAATACTTAATACTGACATATGCAGTTGAAACTAAATGATAAATATGAAGGTAACAGATAATAAAATAGGTGACGATAATAAAATAGGTGACGAAGAACTTTTCGAAGAATGAACCAGCAGCACTAAACAGTTTTTCAAAATTTCCCGGAAAAATGTCAAGAAAAATTAACGGATTATGGGATTATCACCAGTTATATCAATCAGTATTTGCAATTATTTAAGAGACACTTTGTATAATATAAGATGTAACTCACCCTTCCAACAGTTCTTCCAAATTCCAAATCCTCATAGATCCTCCAACAATCTCCCCCACGTTTGGAAGTAAAACGTCCACGCTCTCGGTTAATTTAGAGTCCTCAGGACATTTGCTCATATAGAACGATTTTATATTAGCCGGAAATCTGCACAGCATAATCGGTCTGTTAATTTGATCGGTCATTTTTCTCTCAGGCATTTCCGGTATATCCTAAAAAATAGATAAGGTAAAATGAATCCATAGAAACTAATCCTGTAAACATATTGGTATTTATAAACTTTATATAAATAAACGCCCAAAAGCGAAAGATTTTAAGTAACACCATGTTTTTTGTATATGCAGTTTCACAGATGAAGTCCGAATCATATGGAACCATTGATTGAAAGAATTGGGAAGATACGCAACCTAATGGGCGAATTCGTTACAAGGCTGATTTGATTTCCACTTACGTCTCAAGTGCTGTACGGTAGGGCCACCACTCGTTCTACTGCCAACGCATAAAACACTCATTTTCTCTAATTCCGCCAGCGAAAGCATATCGAAGACGGTGTGGAACTGCAAGCGACAGTGTTGCCATATTAAAATGTGTAGCTCTAATACGTTTGACGAAAATATCTTGCGTTAGGATGAAAAATCTGCGTTTACGTATTGAAGATTTATTCGTGATAGAATAAACAACAAAAATAAAAATTCTTTTATAGGTACTGAATATATCGTTAGATCGAAAAAAGTCGTTTAGTTGGCTTGGAAATGACGATTATTGTAAATGTCAATAATCCAGGGTGGTTCACCACATACGACACGGAGTATTGTATCTAAACGATTAGATTTTTACAAATTTTAAGTTTTGGGTTCGTTGAAGGACTATTAGAGCTACAATTTAAAATTATTTTTACAAGATACAGAGTGTCCCAAATAAGTAAAAAACATAGTTGTATTTTTTTAAATGGTACACCCTGTATATTTTTCTATTTTTGGATTCTACGATTGAAATAAAGGTAAATTTGATTAAGGTTTATCACACTTAAACCTTACCGTTTTTGAAATATTTTCAATTTTATGAAATTGCAGTAAAAATTTTAAGGCTTCATTTCTCCAAGAGTATCAAAGTTTTTAATACTAATTTTTTACTGAAGATTATTTATTGATCAGATATTGTGTTGCTATAATAAAAATTTTACTACCTTATACAGAGTGTCCAAAAATTTATATTATATAATTACTAGCTTTAAACGGCAATAACTTCTTCTTCTTCTAGTGCAGATCCATTAATGGATGTTTGCGATAACATTTTCCATTGTTTCTCTGTTCTGGGCGGTGTGTATTAACGATTGAACATCGAGTAGCCCTGTCCACTGTCTAATATTCCTCAGCCAAGACATTTTCTTCCTTCCGATACCCCTCCGGCCATCGATCTTGCCTTCTATCAACAAATGCAAGAATTGATATTTGGGGTTTCGCATTATGTGCCCCAGGTATGCGGTCTTTTTCTTTTTAATCAATTCAAATAATTCACGCTCTTTGCCAACGCGTCTGAGAACTTCCACATTTGTCAATCTAGCCGTCCAAGTATCTTCAGGATTCTGCGATATAGCCACATCTCAAAAGCCTCCAATTTGTTGATGGTAGCTGCTTTCAATGTCCAACCTTCCATACCATAAAGGAGCACCGACCACACATAACACTTTACGAATCTTAATCTAAGACTAAGGTCAAAATCAGAACAGACAAGTACTTTTCGAAACCTCAAGAATGCCTGCCGAGCTTGTTCGATGCGACATTTAATTTCCTTGTCTGATGTCCAATCTTCGGAGAGCCAGATGCCCAAGTACTTAAATTTATCTACTCTTTCTATGGGTCTTGAGTTAAATGTTAGGATGGAGTTTATAAACATATCTGGGTTTCTGGATATAATCATAAATTTGGTTTTCTTGATGTTGATGTTTAAACCCATTGCTTTGCTCTGTTCCTTGCTGACCAGTTGTTGTAGGTCGTGTATATTGTCTGCAATTAAGACCGTATCGTCGGCATAGCGGATATTATTAATCCACACTCCATTAACTTTGACCCCCATTTCCACGTCCTCCAGAGCCTCTTGGAAAATAGCTTCTGAGTATAAATTAAATAGGAGTGGAGACAGCACGCAACCCTGTCGCACCCCCCTTCTAACTTGTATGGGATTGGACATGGTATTGGACAATTTTATTTGTGCTGTTTGGTTCCAGTATAACTTTTCAATGCAATAACTTGTCTAATTTAAATGGAACACCCTATGTATTTTACGTAAATCAGATGCATGCACAATGTAATTGTCTATGAAATTGTAATATACCATTTTTTACCCATCTCTTCAAGTTTTCGTATAAAATGCATTTTCTTATAATTTAGACTTCATTTATCACTATACCCATGGAATTGACATTTTAGCTTATTTTTAAAGATGTGACAAATTTTCAAAGGATACAGATACTAATATTGTCAACTATAGCGACTATAGCGCTTATTTAATTAAAAAGTAAAAAAACTGTTTAAATATGTTTTGTTAAAGAGGACCAATTAATATGATCCCAGTATTCAAACTACATTAATTGACTGTTTACGTTGATTAATAATAATTGCTCCAAATACAAAAAAACTGAATTTTGTGTGTGTATTAGACAGTGTGGTAAAAAGTAACACTTTATATTATAGTATTTCATTTTTTGACGAATGCTTATTTATAAAAACGTTCATTTTCATAACTTATTATTATATTGATTTCTGAGCCAAATCCATATTTATTTAGAATAGTTTATTAATTAAAACAATTTAAAAGTCTGTAATTAACTAAAATTTTTGGTGTTTTTGGTCGAAAATAATGGTGGGATATTTAATTGGTATACTCTTTTATAAAGATTTAAATAGTTTTTTTTATATGCCAATGGGCTTGCAATATTTACCACCTGTATATTTTGTACATATATGGTGCTATAAAAAAATCTGAAATGTCAATATTCCATGGGTATATTGATAAATGAGGTCTAAATTATAAGGAAAGGCATTTTCTACGAAAACTTGAAGAGATGGGTAAAAATGATACAATTTGATAGACAATTACATTGTGCATCTGATTCACGTAAAATATATAGGGTGTTCCATTTAAATTAAACAAGTTATAGCCGTTTAAAGCTAGTAATTATTTAATATAAATTTTTGGACACTCTGTATAAGGTAGTAAAATGTTTATTATTGCAACACAATATCTGATCAATAAATAATATTCAGTAAATATTTAGTATTAAAAACTTTGATACCCTCGGAGAAATGAAGCCTTAAAATGTTTACTGCAATTTCATAAAATTGAAAATATTTCAAAAACGGTAAGGTTTAAGTGTGATAAACCTTAATCAAATCTACCTTTATTTCAATCGTAGAATCCAAAAATAGAATAATATAAGGGTGTTCCGTTTAAAAAAATACAACTATAATATTTTTTACTTATTTTGGGACACTCTGTATCTTGTAAAAATAATTTTAAATTGTAGCTCTAATAGTCCTTCAACGAACCCAAAACTTAAAATTTGTAAAAATCTAATCGTTTAGCTACAATACTCCGTGTCGTATGTGGTGAACAACCTTGTATAATCTCTCCAAAAAAATCCTATATGGGTTTTTCGCCACTACAAGAAAATCTACAAAATAAAATAGTTATTTTATGTAAACACTTCTGCGTTAATCCCAAACGGAAACTACTTGTCAGAAGTTAGGTTTAAAGATATACAAATTTGCCTAACGAACAAAAAAATGCTTAACGTTTCGGAAAATTTATCTCTTTCCGTCGTCGGGAGCAAAAAAAATACAAAGAATAAAGAAAAAAACTATTTAACAATTAACATTTAAGGGTCTAGATGTTCAAATTAAAGAACATAAAGATTATTTAAGAAAGGGAGATTTTCACAAATCTAAGATATGTCAGCATTAATGGGACACAGAATAAATTTCAATAACGCCAAAATTATAATGAAAGAAGCGATAGCCTCTAAAAGAAAAATAGAAGAGGCTTTTTTAATACATTCTAATAAAAATAAATGTATTGCTCATGCATCTGTAGATGTTAGTAATGTATGGCAATCGCTTTTTTGATTTTAAAGAATATAACATAAATAAACATAACATACGTAAAAATTTAAAAATACAATTAAAAAGTTTGGTTTTGCCTTATTAAGTAATTGTTTTCAGGTAGTAATAATTTCTAATTAATTATTACTAATTTATTATTAACAATTATTGTTAATTTTGAAGTTTAACTTGATATAATGTCATTTTAATAGAACGTCAACGGTTTTTGTAGACGTATCTGTTTTAAAAAACTAAAGTGTTCTCGAATAGTTGAATTTAAATATTTTAAATAATTTTTTTCTTTACTCTTTGTATTTTTTTTTGCTTCCGACCACGGAAAGAGATAAACTTTCCGAAACGTTAAGCATTTTTTTGTTCGTTAGGCAAATTTGTATATCTTTAAACCTAATTTCTGACAATTAGTTTCCATTTGGGATTAATGCAGAAGTGTTTACATAAAATAACTATTTTATTTTGTAGATTTTCTTGTAGTGGCTAAGTACCCATATAGGATTTTTTTGGAGAGATGAATCCGCCACATAGGTATAGACATTTTTTCTAACTATAATAATGTTATATCAACTATAATAATTCTTTTACTTTCTGGCGAATTCGCCAGGTTCCTCAATGCACGTTGCGGTTATGTAGCAGTAATGCAGTTATGCAATCAGTAATACAGTTTAGCGCTACATTTGACCTTGACAATATTTTAAAAAATGTCTATATCTATGTGGCGGATTCATCTTTCCAAAAAATCCTTTATGGGTATTTCGCCACTGCACTGCAAGAAAATCTACAAAATAAAATAGTTATTTTTTGTAAACACTTCTGCGTTAAACCTAAACGGACGCTGCTTGTCAGAACTTATGTAGTTAACTTGATATAATGTCATTTTAACAGAACGTCAACGGTTTCTTGTAGACGTATCTGTTTTAAAAAAAGTAAAGTGTTCTCGAATAGTTGAATTTAAATATTTTAAATAGTTTTTTTTTCTTTATTCTTTGTATTTTTTTGCTTCCGAAGACGGAAAGAGATAACTTTCCGAAACGTTAAGCATTTTTTTCTTTGTTAGGCAAATTTGTATTACTGTAAACATAACTTCTGACAAGCAGCGTCCGTTTAGGTTTAACGCAGAAGTGTTTACAAAAAATAACTATTTTATTTTGTAGATTTTCTTGCACTGCAGTGGCGAAATACCCATAAAGGATTTTTTTGGAGATATAATATTTTACATATTAAATAACAGCTATCTTCATTTCCAAGCCAACTATGACGCTGTTCTTTGTTTAAACATATAATATTATATTAAATTGACTGAAATGATAGAAAAAATTAGTGATGGGAAAAACAATTATCGAATAATATCTAATTTCAATAATCGAGTACTCGAGTATCAAGCGATTGCAATAACCGAGTGATCACTCGAGCGAAATATCGCTCGTATTTAAAAATACGGTTTTTTGTCCCTCGCATGTTGTAAGTACTCGTTAACGCAAAGCGCCAAGCAGTAAGCTGCGTGCGCAGGGCACATATTCTTTCGGCAATGAACGGCAAGTAGTAAAGGCGGAATTACATTACTATCACGTCACGTGAATTCACGTGAACACACATGAGCAGTAAATTTGATGAGAGCGATGTTTTGCATTTATTTTATTAATCAACACATCAAGGGTGAACACATTATTGTCACTTGGGGGATTCATGTGAAATCACGTGATATTGCGAGTTGTTTCGCGCTCAAAAATTCTGTTTTAGCATCAATTTCGTGAGGCGTGAAAACGTGAGGGTTGGAAAATGGAAGAAATTCTAATAGAAAAAGTGCGTTTACACGAGGTGCTTTACAATAACCGATCTACAAATTACTCTCTTTTCAAATAATGTCATGAACCCATTGCCTAGTTTTAATATTATCAGCAAGTAGTATTGGAAGTATTATAAAAAATTGTTTAACTAACTTACTATTATAGCGTACCTAATTTTTAAAGAAAATCTAAACTCAAATGTTCAAGACTGTTGATAGTTTGCTGGACGCCCGCCAATTTTTTAGCAACAATTGTACTTTAATTTGATCTGAGACCATTAGGAGCAATGTCTAAACAAAACTATACTAAGTGGGCTATAAAAATACATTTTGGCATTTAATGTTGTGCAATGTGCAAAGAGGTTGCAAGCATGCACAAATATTAATTTCATGAAACCATCTCGATAAATATGAAGTTATTCTTATTAGTGCACTTTATGTAAAATTAAAAAACAAACAACTTTTCAAAAAAAATTGTGTGGGCAGTATGTGCGCATATTTGAAGTGAAGCTTCTTCTTCGTGCCCTGTCACGGTCTTCGTGCCACCTGTATACTGTGCCATACTGTATCCTGTCACGGTCTTCGTCACGGAATTTTTACTCCCATCGCGCGTAATGAAGTGTCGCTTAAATATTTTTTTTTTTTCAAAATTCCAAAAAATAAAATTGTTCTTTAGCCATTTATTTTTCTAAATGTCAAAATTGACAGATACCCGATAGCAACAACGTAGATTTTATTATGACATTTTTAGTCTATTTTAAAGCACAAACTAATGCCAAAGATAAATTTGACCTAAATCTATAAATAAAATAAAATCTTATATGATGCAGACTTTATCTGTGACAATTTAACTTGAAACTCAACAAATTTTGAAGTTACTCATAATAATAACGTCAAACCGTCTACTAAAATACGAGCAAAAGTGATTCTATTGCTGATTTTTCATTGAGCTGCCAAATTATCTACATAATCTGACATCAGGGGCGTGCGGTCAATGGAAGTTACACTTTAGTTCTTGACTTTTCAGCGCTTTTGGTCATTGGTTACCTAACTACGCCACTGATTTTGTATCTTTTATTACTTACTTCTCCAAACTCATAAAACGATCCATCTTCTTTTGTAATGTTGTTCTTTTTCAAATATTCAATTGCATCGGAGTAGTTCAACCTTAAAAACGGACGTGTGGGGACCCGAAATCCAGGATTCAGTTCGTAAACTATTTTCCCATAGGGTGATTTTAAAACTCTGTCCACTACGTCGCATATAAGATCCTCCAGGCGATCTAAAAGATCGTTAAAAGTTATGAATGGGCATTCGGCTTCCACATGAGTGTATCTGAAAAACATTATTATAATCACATTTAAAAGAAAATAGAATGGGAAATACATGGTTTATTAAATAACTGTTTTTTTTTCTGGACATATACAAATCGAAATCAATCAATATCGAAAAAAAAACGGCGTTACAGATAACCATGAAATGAAGATAGCTGGCATTTTATACAGGGCGACCATATACGACACGGAGTATTGTAGCTAAACGATTAGATTTTTACAAATTATAAGGGTTTTGGGTTCATTGAAGGATTATTAGAGCTACAATTTAAAAATATTTTTACAAGATACAGAGTGTCCTAAATAAATAGAAAATATCAACGTATCATTTTTTTAAATGGAACACCCTGTATATTATTACATTTTTAGTTTCTACGATTAAAATAAAGGTAAATTTGATTAAGGTTTATTACACTTAAACCTTACCGTTTTTGAAATATTTTCAATTTTGTGAAATTGCAGTAAAAATTTATCTTCATTTCTCCAAGGATATCAAAGTTTTAATGCTAAATATTTACTGAAGTTATTATGTTGCAATAGCAAAAATAATACTACTTCATACAGAGTGTCTAAAAATTTATTTTAAATAATTTCTAGCTTTAAACGGCAATAATTTATTTAGTTTAAATAGAATACCCTGTATATTTTAGGAGAATCAGATACACAATTTAATTGTCTATCAAATTGTGTTATACCATTCTTTACCTATCCCTTCTAGTTTTCGTAGAAAATGCATTTTCTATCATTTAGACCTCATTTATCAATATACCCATGCAATATTGATATTTTAGATTGTTTTTAAAGCAACAAATGTACAAAATGTACAGGTGCTAAAAACAATAATATTACTAGCCCATTTGTATACAAAAAGAAAATTATTTAAATCTTTATAAAAAACAATACCGTTAATTAAATATAACACCATTATTTCCGCCCAAATAATTGATTACATTCTTAATTCTGTTAGTTAATAAATTATTCTAAATAAATGTGGATTTGAATCAGAAATCAATATAATAATAAATTATGAAAATGAACGTCTCTCTTGTTATAAATAAGCATTCGTCAACAAATTAAATAAAATTTTTAATGTGATAATTTTTGACCACAATGTCTAATATACATACAAAATTTTATTATTTTTTTACTATTCGGAGCAATAATTATTAATCAGCGCAGTCAATTAATGTAGTTTGAATACTGGAATCATATTAATTGGTCCTCTTTAACAAATATTTAAACAGTTTTTCTTATCTTTTAATAAAATAAGCGAACTATATCGATAATATTAGTATCTGTACTCTTTGAAAATTTGTTACATCTTTAAAAATAATCTAAAATGTCAATATTCCATAGGTATAGTGATAAATGAGGTCTACATTATAAGAAAATGCATTTTCTACGAAAACTTGAAGAAATAGGTAAAGAATGGTATAATACAATTTGATAGACAATTAAATTGTGCATCTGATTCTCGTAAAATATACAGGGTGTTGTATATTATTGCAACACCAAATTTAGAAAATAGAAATACTCAGAACAATATTTGGTTTTAAAAACTTAAATACGCCTAGAGAAATGGAGCATTAAAATATTACTGTATTTTGATAGAAACCGAAATATTTCAAAAACGATAAGATTAAAATGCGGTAAACTTTAATAAAATTTACCTTTATTTTAATCGTAGAAATTAAAAATGTAATAATATATAGGGTGTTCCATTTAAAAAAAATAATACTTTGATATTTTCTATCTATTTAAGACACTCGGTATCTTGTAAAAATATTTTTAAAATGTAGCTCTAATAGTCCTTCAACGAACCCAAAACTTACAATTTGTAAAAATCTAATCGTTTAGCTACAATACTCCGAGACGTATGTGGTGAACAATCCTGTATACACTGGACACTGGACACCGTTTATTTTTCGATCATACCGTATTATTTTACTTACTCTGCTAAATGTCTTCTTGTTCTACTTTGTTCAGCTCTAAAGCTTTCTGCAATGCAATAAACGTCGCCCATCGAAGGTAAGCAAGTCTCTAAATAAAGCTGAGAACTTTGAGTCAAAAATGCTTCTTCCCTGTAAATAACAAAGTATGTATTGTTGTATTTCTGTAATTAAAATATATGCTTATACACACCCAAAATAATCAAGTTTAAATAAAGTGGATCCCCCTTCAACCTGAGTTTGTACAATGGAAGGTGGGGTTACTTCACAGTAACCTCTGTCCATGTAATGGTCCCTAAAATCATTGGCAAAAATGCGGTATATTAAAGTATAAAATAGGAGTAAATATTAATTATAAATACTAAATACTATTGAGATTACTGATGGGCAAACATCCGGTATATTGAAATTTGGGTAAATGGGGTAAATACTTAAGGTTTTGCACCCGGTATACAGGGTTTTCCAGGTTGAGCGTGCGTTAGAAGTTTCTAGAGAACTACAATATCTAGATCGGAGATATTTTGCACATCATTGTTTTACAATGAGATCTATCGATTAAAAATATTTTCAATATGGCGGCACTTCCGGAAAAACCTGAAGTTGACATTAACTTCCTTATTTTAATGGATACCGCCATTTTTTATTACAGACTTAAATTCTCTGTAAAATTTTATGAATTTTGATATCAAAAACTCTATATCTAACATTAACCGTTTTTGAGAAAAAAAATATTTAAAATTTTTGGATGAAAAAAACTGCCTGTCAAAAAAATTATAGCCTAAACGTCAAATTTAGTGATTACCACAGCCACTGGGACATAAAGAGAAGACATGTGGCTATCTACACACACCGGAAAAATCTAGGGATATCATTTTATTAAAGTTAAAAATAAATGTTTTGAATAAACAACCAGATATTTGTGGGCCGATTCTTTCTACTTCGATTGAAACGCAGTAGTTACACTAGTTATTTCTATATTTGGGATATTTGCAGAAGTGTTTGTGAATTTTTTGTCAAATGTATAAAAAGCACCTAGCATCAATTGTTCGAATTTAACGTGTACTGGCTATGTTTTTATGATAACTGGCCAGAATTCATTCAAATAACTCTGTTTAGTATTAAACGACCTTATGGAGCGTAGACATCTTAACAGAGACGAAATTCTAAGGGCCATGTGTATGCTCGAAGCTGGAATGCGCCAAATCGACGTGGCTAGAGCATTAATACAACGCAAAGTGTAAATACGCAAAGGCACACAGGGCGACATCGCATTACTACCCCTCAGCAAGATCATTTTTTACAATTAAATGCTCGACGCCGACCGACTCTTACAGCACCAGAGCTTAGTTTAATTCTTCAGGAAACACATAATGTAACCGTTAGTCCTGACACTGTTCGCAATAGATTAAGAGAGATCAACTTAAGAAGCAGACGCCCCTGGAGAGCTCAACCCTTAACGAGAGGAAATCGAGAGGTACGATATTTGTGGGTTCAAGATCATGTTCAGTGGTCGAATGAACAATGGGCCAATGTTCTCTTCACGGACGAGTCACGCTTTGGAATTCATCCGGATTCGAGAAGGCTAAGGGTATGTGGAGAACCGGGAAATCTTATTCGGTTGGATCATGTTCAGGAAGAGCACCCTTATCAAGGTAGAACAGTTATGGTCTGGGGAGGAGTCCAGTTAGGCCGAAAAACCGATCTCGTTTTTCTTGAAAGGCTTCTAACAAGAATCACATATCGTGATTTAATTCTTGAGCCTGTCGTGTTACCATATGCCAATGATTTTGAGAGAAACTTCATTCTCATGCATGACAATGCACGGCCTCATACAGCCAGAGTGGTAAGTGAGTTTATCAATGCTCATCAATTAAACATCTTACACTGGCCGGCACAATTTCCTGACCTCAACCCCATCGAGCACGTATGGGACGCGGTCCAAAGAAGAATTTTGAGAATGGGTATGCCTCGTGAAACTCGTAGGGATCTGGTTCGGGCCGTGAATGCAGCGTGGCAGGCTGTACCTCAAGAAGAGATTGACAACCTGATCAGGAGCATGGAGAGGCATCCTCTACCTGAATCCTCTATTGTTACAGCCCACGATGTAGGGCTGTAATGAACAGTAGAGGAGGCCATACCCTTTATTAATTAAAAATGGTTTTATCTTTTTTTTTAATTCACAGTTTAGAATAAAAAAAAATGTGTGTACTTTTTTGAATTCAATAAAAATCAAGGTAAATTTGAAAAATTCGGTAAATTTCGCATTTTTATTTCCAATGCGTCCTGTAAACTATTTGTTTATTTTAATTTTATTATATCAGAAATGCAAATAATAAAATTACTGACGATGGCTGGATAAAATTGTAATATCCCTAGACTTTTCCGGTGTGTGTATTTCAAAACAAACCAAACCAACTAACGTCATAGGCTACCTGGTCGCGTAGCTAGATATTCTGTGCTACTGGTTAAAAACTAGAAAAATAGACGCTTTAAAACTAAATCTTTTTTAAATTAAAAACGATTTATTTTAGGTATAGGAAATAAAAAAAATAACGAATTAAAAAGCCTATCTATTAATAAAATAAAGAAGTAGGTTTCCATTTGAAAAAAAATGATTTATGATTGTTTTCTGTGGTAATCACTAAATTTGTCGTTTAAGCTATACAATTTTTTTTGACAGGCAGGCATTTTTTCCTCCAAAAATTTTAAATATTTTTTTCTCAAAAACGGTTAATGTTAGGTATAGAGTGTTTGATATCAAAATTCATAAAATTTTACAGAGAATTTAAGTATGTAAAAAAATTGGAGTACCCATTTAAAATAAGAAAGTTGTTGTCAACTACCGGTATTTCCGGAAGTGCCGCCATATTGAAAATATTTTTAACCGATAGATCTCATTGTGAAACAGTAATGTGCAAAAAATCTCCGATCTAGATATTGTAGTTCTCTACTGCACAGGGTATATTAAATTTGGGTGAATACCATATATTACCCGGTATATTCCCAACTATACGGGGGTTCTTTGCTAATAAGGTACTCTAACATGTTCCTGTAAATTTATGTTCTAAAGTGTTTTTTGACATGAAAAATTTGATTTCGATGTTAATATGACTCCCACTTGTAGGAGCCGCCGCCTACCTGTTCTGACGGGTTTGGAGATAATTTTTTGTCCGTAAAATTATATAATATTTTGGATATGGTTTCATAAAAGAATTAAAAAAATATATTAAAAAAATCAAGACAGCTTAACGTATTATAATCATATACCTGAAGGCCTGCAAAAGAACAGATCTCATTCTTAAAATTTTCGATGTGTTTTCGCCTCTGATCATGATGTGCCTGTTTGCCGCTTGAATGTCGGGCAATGCTTGTTCATTTAGTATCGCGTCTGCCCCTCCAGCTGGCGCTAAACCAATCAATTCCCAATAATCCACAATAAGTTCGTGTCCACCAGGAGCCTACCATAAAAATTGTCATTAGTTATTTTTTGCTGAATAATATCTATTTGATTACTTTCCTACCGGTTGGAAAATAGATGGAGCAATTAATACAATTTTGAATAGCTCATAAATATCAATGTAATAATGTTAGACGAATCTGTATAACGAAATATACAGGGTCGCTGATCCCTAACCAAATCTAATCGATTATTAAGTAAAATATACAAGGTACCGCAAAAAGTTAAATACAAAAAAAGTATATGGATTTTAAATGTATTGGCGAGTAATATGTTTATGGTCGGTCATAAAGTCGTGGCACATCAAATTTTATTTTTTTAAATAGAACCCCCCTGTATATTATTGCATATTTCAATTCTTCCTTCAATTCTAAGCAAAATTCGAAATACACATTCAAACCAATCGTTTCCGAGTTATTGTTATATTTTAAAAATATCACTTAAACAATTCGATTTAATTAATTTCAGTGTATTCAGTTTCATTTAATGACGCCATTCTGCCGAAACCGTGATACTGTTGTAACGGGTTTTTAAATGCCTATTAGCTAAAAGTAAATTTAAGTATAGAGTGTCGGTCATAATGACTTGTGGCACATCAAACTTTATTTTTTTAAAAGAAACCCCCTGTATATTATTGCATATTTCAATTCTTCCTTCAATTTTAAGCCGTAATCGTAATACATAATGTACATAAATTGAAGAATTAAAACGTTAAACGAAAATTTTGTAATTTCCAGACTTGATATAATCTCATTTTATAAATCTACTAGCTTGTACCAGCGAGTTCGTTCGCGGTTAAAAGATCACCAAATATTATTTTTAATCATAACTCATTTTTTTTCAAATGGAACGAGGGCGGTTTCGAAAAAGCATTTCATTACGAATTATTTGGTACCACATACCTACTTAGTATTTCGAGTAAAATTGTCATTATATTATTGTCGGATTTTTGCATATTGGCAGACCGTATTTTTACATATTTTTATTAGATTCAAAAAATGCTGCAAACTATTAAAAATAAAGGATATGTTTTTATATAAAAAAATGGGTTATCTTATACAAATTTAATTCTGGTGATATAAACGTACTAGCGTGTACCCGCGACTTCGTTCGCGTCGAATTAATCATTTGTAATGGTGATGATAAAGCAAAGCAAGAATTTCCATTAACATACAAACTGGATAAAATTTTCTCACATTTATGTCAGCATGAGAAAAAACAATATGGCGATATTATTATATAACTTGGTAATATTTGAGGGGTTTAGTTTCATCTCGTTGGAATTTGACTTTCGAAAAATTTGTTTGCCAAAAATAAGCTTTTTATGTCAAGCAGTTTAAGCAGAATCGTGGTTAAGAAATTACCCAACTTTTTGGAACACCCTGTATGATTTTTTAAAAAATTTCAAAATATCAAAAAAACAAATAAATTATGCTTGTCCAAGCGTTTTTCCGAAAGACTAACCGTTTTTTAAATAACAAATATTGTAATATTTGAGGGAGGTTTTCACCCTCTTGGAATTTGATATTCGAGAAACCCCTCCTTATCGAACCTCTACACCCCACTGTCAATCCGCTTGCCAAAAATCAGCTTTAAACGTCAAGCAGTTTAAACAGAATCATGATTACTCAATGGTCATATTTTATGAAACACCCTGTATAAATTTATAATAAATCTTAAATATGTAAAACAACAAAATAAAATATACGTGTTTAAGAGTTTTTCCGAAAAACGCACCGGTTTTTAAATAAAAAATATTTTAATATTTGAGGGATAGTTTCACCCCCTTAGAATTCGAGTTTCGAAAAATTCCTTCTTATCGAAAAATCATATATATTCCAAAAATCAGCTTTTTACATCAAGCGCTTTAAGCAGGATCGTGATTAATCAATGACCAGATTTTTCGAAAAACCTTGTATACATTTTTAAAAAATCTTAAAATATGTAAAAAAAACAAAATAAAATATACGTGTTTAAGCGTTTTTTCGGAAACTTGACCGTTTTTAAAATAAAAAATATTGTAATATTTGAGGGGTGGTTTCACCCTCTTGGAACTGGAATTTCAAAAAATCCCTTCTTATCGAACACTCTAGAATCAACCTGTATGCCAAAATTGAGCTTCTTACGTTGAGTGGTTTGAGGTCTTAAATTAAAACTGAAATTAAATACCCAGTAGTCTTATAAATTCATGTTACATCTTTCTAAAATACTGTCTAAAATGTCATCTTATTTTTTATAAATATCATATTTACGTAGTGTAAAGATCTACTTACAGTTTTACCTTCTGGTACAGCTTGAATTTTACCATATAGTAGTATAGAAGACTCTGTTTGCAACACAAAGCCGTTATAAGTCTGACAAAGCTTGTCAGTTAAAACTGACTGTAGAAATCCTGTGCCATCCCTCAATGTAATGAACATAAGTTTTGTGCCTTGTCTGCGAATTCTATGAGTCCAACCATAAATTTTTACCCGTTTTCCTCGGTACTCTTGAGCTGAAAATTAACATCAAATATACAGGGTGTCTCAAAAATAGTGTATCTATCTTTGGTGGATGATTGTACAGTACAGATAAAAATAAAACAAAAAGTATCTTTAAATACATGACGTAAAATAATTTAGAGACATCTCGAGGAAGTTACAGCCAATTACAACCCTCGAAAAGGTAAATAAAAATTAAAAATAATATATTTTATTTATACAGGTCCGGCAATAGTGCGTCGGGCATCTGTAGTGGGCATCATGGCTGTGTAGCTCCTAGAATAAAAAAACTTGGGAATTTTGTTTAAGTGCAAAGAAAAAGTATGTACCTACTAGGATGTAATACAGGAAAATATTTTAACTTCTATAGGGTGGCGCAAAAAAGTGTGAGTGGATCGGGATGCTATATTATTGCCTTTGTGGCTTCCTTTCAGATCATTTTACATAATCCTAAGTTATGAGTAAATCTATGTGGATAGTTTCATAGATATAAATAAAAAAATATTTATTTTTTAGACTTTCTTTAAAAAAATATTAAAATACAAGAACTGTCCTGAAATCAAAACTATATTAGGTATTTACTTTAGATGGTCTGTACTTAATTTTGCTATAAATATGGTAATCGTAAATCATACAAAAAGTTCAAAATTCTACGCCAAACTTTCTGAAATATGAAATAATTTTTCTTCGTTTTTTTTTTAAATGGATCACCCTTTATATTATTTTTTGGAGAGATATGAAGAATTAAAAATATCGAGAATTAAAAATGAAAATTTTTTGTATTTAGAGTTTAGAGTATTTCTAACGGTTTCGCAGATATTCGCGGTTTTAAATTTTATATGACAATTTCCACAGTATTCGTAATTTACCGTTGAAAGAATCATATGAAATAATACTGCGTGTATCTTTGAAACCATTAAAAATTTTGAAATGCTTTAAGTACAAAAAAAGTTAATTAATTAATCTAATAAAAAATAATATATAGGGTGTTTTGTAAAAAAAATCAAAGAAGAAATATTTTATATTTTAGAAAGTTTGGCGTATATTTTGAACACCCTGTATAATTTAAGATGGCGATATCTATAGCAAAGTTATGTAATTTTAACGGTTTCGCAGATATTCGCGGTTTTATATTTCATATGGCATTTTTCACAGTAATTTTTTATCAAAGCTATCCCATGATTTTTCTCTCGTATTTTACCATTGAAAGCGCCATATGAAATAATACTGCGAGTATCTGCGAAACAATTAAACATTTTGAAATAGTTTAAATACAAAAAATGTTCATTTTTTAATTCTCCATCTAATTAAAAAATAATATACAGGGTGTTCCATTTAAAAAAAAATCAAGAAAAATTATTTTATATTTTAGAAAGTTTGGCATAGAATTTTGAACACCCTGTATGATTTACGATTACCATATTTATAGCAAAGTAAGAACAGACCATCTAAAGTAAATACCTAATATAGTTTTGATTTCAGGAAAGTTTTTGTCTTTGTAACAGGGTTGGAAAAAATCATGATTTTTTAAAAAAAATCAAAAAAATCAGATTTATTTGATTTAAATCAGATTTTTTTGATTTTAATTCAAAACAATATTTAAATCGGATTTCCAAATGACTAGGACTTATTTCCAATTAAAGTTCTATCCTAAATGGCTAAATATTTATAACTCTGCCCGATATCGATAATAACATTAACAATTCTACGGTGCGTTTTGTCATTTTTCGACATCGGTCACCAATATATTTCGCAAAAAAGTCGCTCGCTTCAGATCAAAAGGATTTTTTTTAAACATCTCAAAAGTATTAATTTTTGTCATTTTAACGCCTAGGCATAAAAGTAAAGCACTATTACGCCTAAGCACAAAAGTACAAAAATATATTATTAAACTGATATTAAGTGTCAGATTCAACTAGTGCACAAATTGTTGCTCGATTACTGTTTATATTATTTGCAATGTTTGAAATTGATTAAAAAATTATTTGTAATGTTTTAAAAAAATAGTATGTTCTATTCGGAGTAAAAATGTACTTTTTGTGCGTCCTTGTAACGTCGGAATCGTCGGAATAGCTTTACGATGGTCCTTCAACGGTACAGCATCATCAAAAAAAGTATAATTTTTACTCCTAATAGAATAATACACTATTGTTCGGAAATAGTCTTAAGTCGTGAATGAAATTAGTATTATCTAATGTCAAAGTGTAAAATACTTACTGCAAATCAAAATGTCGGTAAGAATTTGGAAAAATACAACTTCAAAAAAATTACGTTAATTAATTTAATTAAATTATAATAATAAATTATATATTATAATAATATATAATATTATTATAATAATAAAATAATAAATTACGTTAATTAATTAATTAATTAATTAATTATTATTTTTTAAGAAATTACTTCAAAAATCGGTCCAACATTTAAATTGATGAATAGATTTTATAACATTTACAATTACTTTTCGATTTATTATCTGTTATATCTTTTAAAGAAATATTTTTTATAGTTTTCTAGGACACATTTTTATAACCTTTACAGTTATTTTTTGATTTATAATAAAATTACTTTTTTTGATTTAAATCACATGATTAAAATTAAAAAAATCACTTGATTTAAATCATGATTTAAATCATTTGATTTAAATCATGCCAACCCTGCTTTGTAATAATGTTTTAAGGAAGGTTGAAAAATATATATTTTTTATTTATTTATTCTCTGAAATTATCGAAATATATTTACTCATATTAGGATTATGTAAAGTGATCTGAAAGGAAGCCAAAAATGCAATAATATACAGGGTGTTCCATTTAAAAAAACTCGATCCACTCACACTTTTTTGAGCCACCCTATAGAAGTTATTTTTTTCCCTGAAATGCATCCTAATACATATTTTAGGCTTGCACTTAAACAAAATTCACAAATTTTGAAACAAACACAAATGATAAACCGTTTTTCTTGAAATTTGGTACTCTTACAATGTATGTAATTTTATTTTGCCAATGCCAAAGCGAATGGCGATAGTGTTTTTAATCCGTAACAGTCTGGGGGGAGTTTGAAAGGGTACATTCCATTAGGATGAGGGGCGGATACAGGAATTTATTTTAGGGGGGGGGGGCAAATAAAAAAATAATGCAGAATATGCTTTTTAGAGTGTCATTTTTAACCCAAAAAGCTAATATTTAACCCAATTTACAGATCTTAGGGGGGGCCCGTGCCCCATGGGCCCCCCCTCTGTATCAGCCACTGATTAGGATAGAGGATAGAGGGTACTACTGGTGGTACTTCTTTTATCCTAATGTATTCAATAATTTCAAGAGATGAAAAAGCTAGTTTTTTTCTACGTAAAAAAAGTGCTCTTTGTTTAGTTCAAGACGGTGAACGGTTTTCATGATATTTGCGTTTAAAGGTTGATGCGATTATGTACAGGGTGGCTCGAGTTCGACGCGCATCATTGGGATTTCGAAAACCGTAAGAGATACAGGATCGATTAAATGGAGGCAAAGTTGCGCAATTTGATGCTCAATAAAATGCCGTATTGCATTTTGAAAAATTCCGAATACTTCCGAATATATTCAAAAAAAAACGGAATTTTCAATTTTGTTTTCTATTGTTTCCTGGCTTTATTTGTTAAGATAACTTAAAATGAAAAACACATTTTCATAGCCACTCTTTTTCTGCTCTATAATTCTGTGTGATTAAATATTGACTCTGACGTTTCGGCTTCTGGCCACCATCACCAACTTAATTTTTTTAAATACGGACCTGATTTTTTTTCAATTTAATTAAATCCTTTCATCACTCTTAAAACACTATATATAGCCACTTTGATATTTGCCGACGTTTTGCACAGAAAATTCCATCACCAGAATATTTTATGCAAATAAAAAATAAAAATGCAATACGGCATTTTATTGAGCATCAAATTGCGCAACTTTGCCTCCATTTAACCGATCCTGTATCTCTTGCGGTTTCCGAAATCCCAATGATGAGCGTCGAATTCGAGCCACCCTGTACATATGTAAAACGATGCGTCGATTTTAGTATTAGCAAAATCATGACATGTAAGGACATTTTTGTACTAGTATGAATTTGAATGGAGTATAGTAAAACATTACATATACCAGGTATGATCTAAAAAAAATAAAGTAAATAAATGTTTCAAGCGACGGCTGACGGCTGTAAAGGCTGTAAATAGTAATAAATTGTCTGATAGGCAATCAACAATCTGAAAATTTATAATTTCTAAACATCTAATAATTTAGTATGGTTATACTCCGTGTCGACTGACTTGAATAACCCAGTATAATAAGAGCAAAAAATGAGTACGTAACAATTGTTCAGATAATTAAAGAAGTATCAGGAATTCATTGTTATTAAATAGTCGCTCATAAAAGTTCTCCAATTAGAATATTGAATTAGGAGCTATTCTGAATTCGATTATCATAGGTTTATTGCACTAATAATTAATAAATAATTCTACATCGTTTGTTGCACCGCAAAGCCATAAAGTAAATGTATATTTTATTATAATTTACTAGTTGAAGCCTGGTGCATCCGCCACGACGCGACATCAGGAAAAAAAATAAGAAATGTCTATACCTATGTGGCGGATTCATCTCTCCAAAAAAATACTTTTTATTTTTTGTTTAATTAAATGAAAAACAAAAAATCCGGCGACGACAGTTTTTAGAAGAATTAATTGGCTATCTTTTAGTAAAAAAATCAACTTTCTAGAGCAAGTCGTTACTTCAGTAGAAACGACACAGATAAACATTAGCATTTTATATATTATGTAGATTTTTATATTTTTTACCCACCATTCACAATTTTAATTCTCTGTGCTTTAGGCAACGAATTGTCTTCTTCAATAACAATTTGCTTAGCTTCCTCCAAGTTTTTCCTTCTTTTGTCAGCATCATCCTGTTCTTTTTCATTTTTTTCATCTCGTTGCTGATTTTCTTTGACCTAAAAAAAGAGTTAATGTTAATATATCAATATACAAGGTTATTCACGCTATTTCACGGAGTATTATAGTTAAAGGAATAGAGTTTTAGAAATTGTGAGGTGGGGGATCGTTTGAAGGACTACTAGAGATACAATTTAAAAATATTTTTATAAGATACATATAGTGTCCCAAATACATAAAAATATTAAAGTTTTATTTTTCCATATAAAATAGCTTGTATATTATTATATTTTTAGTTTCTACTATTGAAATTAAGGTGAATGTGATTACGGTTTACCCTTAGGGTTTACCCCACTTAAATCTTACCCTTTTTAAATTATTTACAATTTTGTGAAAATGCAATACCTAACATTTTTAATGTTTTAACGCTAACCTTATACTGGATGTCTAAAAATTAATTTTGATAGTCAAAAATGAAGCGCGGATAGTCAAAAACTAGCCAAGTCGACTGACTGTATAACGAATACCTACTATAGTATGGGTATGATAAAACCCTAAAAAGTACTTACAAATATCTTGTGTGCTTTTTTCAAAAGAGATTTTGAAGCGAGTTCGTATCGACCATCTTGATCGTCCACGTAAATAGCAGGAAAGGGTTCAGATCCTGCTCTTCGCAGAGCTTCCAAGACCGTTTTCAACGGATTTTTTTCAGTTCCATCACCCGTCTCATCGTTGCCGAACTTTTCGGAGGTGTACAAAGCTTTAAACAATAACGATCAATTTATACCTACAGGGTGATCCAGACTCAGTGTCTTGTTCCAATACATACCAAGAAAATATAAAAAAAGATTAATGATGTACTGTTTTTATCGAATCCCAAGGAAACATTTTTATACATTTATAGAAAAGTGTTTCTCTATTTTTTTTGTTTACGGGTTCAAACATATTATTTCTTCGGAAAAAAACTTTTTTTAAAACAACTTTTATACAGGGTACATCACTACTTCTTATTTATGAAATCAAAATAAATTAATTGGACACAATTTCAGTCAAATGTCACAATTATTAAATATAAACTATTTTTTAAATGGTACACTTTACATATCGGGTGTGTTTCAATAGTGGCCCACCCCTACAAATGATTTACTTTTCAGATAAAAAAACGAGATTTGGTATGTTAATATTTATGATATAAGTCGAAAGTCACTCTCCTTAAATGGTACCCTCCGCATTTTTTTTACTTTACATGATAAAAAAATGGCATTCTGAATAGAATGGCATATCATGCGTCAACTTTTGACTTTCAGTTAAAAAAATAATATTTGAAATTTCAGTCTAGAGTGCTTTGTAAAAATAGATTTGATTGTCTAATACATATTTTTCGTGTCTTTTCCCGGCCGGTTAAAAGATCACCAAATATTATTTTTAATCATAACTCATTTTTTTTCAAATGGAACGAGGGCGGTTTCGAAAAAGCATTTCATTACGAATTATTTGGTACCACATACCTACTTAGTATTTCGAGTAAAATTGTCATTATATTATTGTCGGATTTTTGCATATTGGCAGACAGTATTTTTACATATTTTTATTAGATTCAAAAAATGCTGCAAACTATTAAAAATAAAGGATATGTTTTTATATAAAAAAATGGGTTATCTTACACAAATTTAATTCTGGTGATATAAACGTACTAGCGTGTACCCGCGACTTCGTTCGCGTCGAATTAATCATTTGTAATGGTGATGATAAAACAAAGCAAGAATTTCCATTAACATACAAACTGGATAAAATTTTCTCACATTTGTGTCAGCATGAGAAAAAACAATATGGCAATATTATTATATAACTTGGTAATATTTGAGAGGTAGTTTCATCTCGTTGGAATTTGACTTTCAAAAAATTCGTTTGCCAAAAATAAGCTTTTGGAACACCCTGTATGATTTTTTAAAAAAATTCAAAATATATAAAAAAAAGAAATTATGCGTATCCAAGCGTTTTCCCGAAAGACTAACAGTTTTTTAGATATCAAATATTGTAATATTTGAGGGGCGTTTTCACCGTTTAGGAATTTGAGATTCGAGAAACCCCTCCTTATCGAATCTCTACACCCCGCACAGTCAATCCGTTTGACATAAATCAGCTTTTTACGTCAAGCGTTTTAAGCAGGATCGTGATTAATCAATGACCAGATTTTCGAAACACCCTGTACACGTTTTTAAAAAATCTTAAAATATGTAAAAAAACAAAATAAAATATACGTGTTTAAGCGTTTTTTCGGAAACTTGACCGTTTTTTAAATAAAAAATATTGTAATATTTGAGGGGTGGTTTCACCCATGTTTCACCCCCTTGGAACTAGAATTTCAAAAAATCCCTTCTTATCGAACCTCTACACCCTAGAATCAACCTGTATGCCAAAATTGAGCTTCTTACGTTGAGTGGTTTGAGCGGTTTGAGCAGGATCGTGATTAATCAGTTTTGCAGTCCCTTAAGGATTATTATTACTTATATATTAGTATATATTAAAACTACCAAAACGTGATTAAAACTCCTATAATTTGTTTATTTAGTTACTATTTTAGCTCAAAAAATAAAAATAAAAGGTCAAATCTGCGCACATCTCTAAAAAAATTAAAAAAATGAAAATGAGTTTGAATTTAAAAACTTACAAGGCATGGTATGTTGCGACCGTTGCGACATATTATTCACACTGTTTTTTACAGAATTGTATGATGAAATCTTGTTGCAACAACGTTTAAATAGATGTACGCGTTGCGATTTTCCAGGAAGCGTCCAGGGAAACACTCGAATGTTTACGCAAAGTTGTACAAATATGTATTTTCATACTAAGTTTAGTACATTTTAACATATATTTGTTAAATTTAATATAATGAAGTTTATTATGTTAATTTAATTAATGAGTTTTATTAATTAACAGATGTTGGTATATAACCAATATATATATAACGTTGGTATTTTTATCTTAATAATTAACTAAGCATTTTTTATAGATGTCTATACAGAGTGACGCAGTATTTCGAAAAATGAATATGCTTATGGAAAACATATTTTACAGAAAAGATTGGCGCAAATATCTCAAATAAGAAACCTGATTTGAATTTGCTCGGAACACTGGATCACCCTATATTTACAAGCGTTACAAAGAATTGGGCGTGCGCAAAAAGCATTTTTCTTCCCAATAAAAAGAATATTTACAAGCATGTTCCTTCTTCAAATAGAACAAAGGCCTAGCTACATCGACATAGCGGTTCGTGGTTGAAGTTAAGCGACGTAGTTCCACTGCAATGTTTGGTCGGGTTATCTTCTGTTTTCCGAATGCAAGAGTGGAAGATCTTGAGTTGAGACTAGGGTTACCATTGATCCGGATATGCCATCTTTGGCCTTCCGGCGAATGAATGTTTAATTTTTGAATTAAACTACATACAACTAGTTTAACTGTTAGAATATGGGAGAGGGGTTAATCAGTCTCATCTCCACTTAAAACAATCATCTTCTAATTCAAATATAAAATATCATAATCTTATTTTACTAACTAGTTGATTAGTTGTCTTTTTTTGGCATAAAATTGAACGTGCAGTGGGCGTGGGATTTATTATTTCCTATAAGCTGGATGCATTCTCCGCCGATTCTACCCCTATCGGAGAATATCGTAAACAATTGGTATATACTTCTAATACTATATATTCTTTTTCGATTATTTTTTACTATCCGAAACAACGTTACATCACATAAACCTCGTACCTGAGTGTTTTATAGTATCAATAACTGCACTAACAAAAAACTAAAATATTTAAATATTATGACAGTTAAACAGGTGATGTTACGGTTAAAGGATAAAAATAGATAATTTTTTATAATTTGAATCCAAAACTGTCCTTATGAATCATTTTACTTGAATTACCTGGGAACAACTGCAACTATAATTGCCGAAAACAAGAATTTTTTAACCTTCTCAATCCATAATTATATTATAAATCTAAAACTATTATCAAAATTTAAAACTAAAAAATTATATATATTATGCGGTATATAAACATATATAAGCCTATTTTCCAACGCTTCATAAAAATTACGGGGCCCTGATTGCGAATGTGATTTTGCGATCTAGTCTACGCCGATGTGTTGGGAGCTGCGAACAAAAATCGCAATCGCCGCTCTTCGTTGGCGTGCCCACTCCCGATGACGCGCCGGTGCCAACGAAAATCGCAATCGCAATGCTGGGATAAGCTGCGATTTTCGTTCAGGTCCTCGTTCGCCTGCCCACAGAAGTGTCTAGTTCTAGCAGTCAACTATTAAGCTTATTTAAGTGGTTATTTGGAGTGTGTTAATTCATTTGTGTTTGTCAAAAACTCTAACGTGATTGGTCGGGCCTAACAGTTGCCTGCTAGGGCTAGGCACAAGTCCTGCCCACTGCCGTGATGATGACGCGCTGCCGGCTGCCGGCCGGTGCGTACGAGAATCGCAATATTGCGATTTTCGTTCCCAGCTCATCGTTCGGCTTCTCAGTGCCGTGTCGATGCACCGCCGCGCCGCGCCGGTACGAACGAAAATCGCAATGCTGTGATTTTCGTTCGCAGCTCTTATCGCAACTGGTATAATATTGGTTGCCTAAAAATCCAAAATCGGCAGATATATGTTTCAATCGCAAGTCGCAGTTTGCTATGGAAAGAAATCACAGGTTGCGATTGCGGATTTACAATCGCTGCGATTAAATCGCAGTTTGCGATTTTCTGCTCATCTCTAGTTTCCATTCCGTTCCGTATTTTTATGGTATTGACGCTATACGGTAAGCTTCCGTTCCGTATCAGTTCCATACTTTTTATTGTACAATTTATATCATTATGAAAGTTTTATTTTAAAAATTGGTATCTTTTGAAATAGGTAATAGACTTAATTAAGAGGTGAAAGAATAAATAAATATTAGCAAAATGTTAACAGAGCTGGTACAAATGTATGAACTTGACAACACTGTTTCCGATACGCTTCAGTCCGTCCGCCAAAAAAATGTATGGAAGGAAGGGATATGGAACGGAAAGGAAACGGAACGGATAGTGTGCATTGTCCTATTCATTTACATTATATAATATTTTATGTAAACGGAAGGGAAACGGAAGGGAGCTGATATGGAAGGTATAGTGAGAATTAACCTTTAACCGGAGATCGGACCTTAACCGTAACATATACAATACACCTGTAATTAGGGTTTCCATACGTCCGGATTTACCTGGACATGTCCGGATTTTTAAAGTCGGGGCTGTCCGGCCCGGATTTGGAAAAGCGTCCGGGAAACCTGACGGCAAAAACAATTTAACTTAGTAAAATATTTTACAGCTACAGTTGAATTAATGTCTCAGTTACTTTGTTGAATAGCGTTCTAAAAAACTGTAAAAAGCGTATGACAAAAAATAGTGTATGTAACACGTACCTAAATTATGTTTTTTAGGACTCATCTACTATTTCGGACTCGGCTAACGCCTCGTCCGCAAACAGTAATGATTCGTCCTAAAAAACATCATTTTAGGTACTAGTTACATAAATAGCTATTATAGTTCCTTTTTTGCGACGTCCAGATTTTGTCTGGATTTCAGAGTTCATTTGTCCGGATTTCTGAGTTCACTTGTCCGGAATTTCCAAAAGCCTTTATGGAACCCCTACCTGTACTTATACCAAGAATAATCAACCTGCTCTATTTTACTTTCAATTCTCCTAATGATTTCTATAAATATCTGAAATCAAAAAACAAATAACTTACAAAAATCAGAGTGTTTACTAATTCTATGGCCACGCTGATAGGACGGATACAAGAATAAATAGAGCACAAATTTTTCAAAACAATAATTTATCTTAATACCTCTCTTATCTTAATCTTCTAGGTTCCTCATGCTATATTTTATTTAATAAGGTAGTTTGTGTGATTTTTTTAGTACATTAATTTTCAATCTTTATCGGACCCTATACTTTAGCGAATATAAAGATATATTAGCAAAATAGAAAATGGTAATTTACCTAGCTCATTGACTGAAATAAAACTTAATACTATCCAGTCAGTTTTTTAAATAAAAACATAAAACACAAAACATTTTTATTCTTGGAGAATATTTGTGTCTTAAATCAATATCTATACATATCTATTTGGTAATTACTGTTATTTTCTAAAAAATAGTTTATATGTACAGGGTTTTCAGAGATATTTAGCGGGATACCTGCAAACTAACTTATTGAAGGTACTAAAAAACCTTATTAGTTTTGAAAGGTTTTCTGTTATACATATCCACGTTACATTCAAACCCATATTTTAACAATATCCACATTTTTTCTTTAATTTTTTTAATTTTAATTTTTTCTTTTAATGGTATACCTTAAAAATATATTTTCATAGATATACAGAGTGCTTCATACGTATTTTTAGACTAAAGTTTATTTTCTTAAGAACGCAATCATAATAAACTGAATGGTTCTCGAAATAGGAAACATTTTAGACTAAATTTTCTGCATATTCAAAGCTTTCTCAAAGTTAGACAATAACTACATTTTTATATTTTTTTGTTGGTAATATTATACAGGGTGAGTTTTCTACGATGTTCTCTATGGGTATCCCAGAAACTACTGGAGCTAGAGAGTCCGTCAAATGGAGAAAGGATTGCAGTTTTGTGAGGATAAACATATGCCCCTTTCGGATTTTTGAAAAAGTTTATGGCTTACTAGATATTTCGAAAAAAGCAAATTTCGGCTATTTTAGAAATGCCCCCTAATTCCTTTATAATCTATTTTAGAGAAAAAAATTTCAGATAAAAGTTGTAGATCATCACATTCTTAATGAGATACTGTGTTCTCTGTTTTTAAAGCCAAAAAAAATAAACAAAATATATAACGCAAACATATGTTTTTATGTTTTTTTTTTAAACGGAAACCATAGTTGGCCATGACTTCACAAAAAGCGCCATTTTTTAAGCTTTTCGGCGATATAAGCTAAACTGAAATTAGTCAAAAAAGATAAGAATTTATAGCCAATTCTTATCTTCATATTCTTTATTCAGTAATTTTTAGGAAAAAAACATATTACAGCTTATATCTCTGAAAAGCTGGAAAACGGTGATTTTTATTAAGTCATGGCCAACTATGGTTTCTATTAAAAAAAATAGGTTTGTGTCATATGTCAAAAATGACAGACTATTGAAAAAAGACACAATCTCATTAAGAATGTGAGTATCTACAATTTTATCTGAAAACTTTTTGTCTAAAATAGATTATAACGGAATTAGGGAGCATGTTTAAAGTAGACGAAATTTGCTTTTTTGGAAATATCTAGTAAGCCATAAAATTTTTCAAAAATCTGAAAGGCGCATATTTCTGACATCATAAAACTGCAATGCTTTCCCCATTTAACCGACTCTCTATCTCCATTAGTTTGCGAGATACCAATAGAGAACATTGTAGGAAACTCACACTGTATAGGTAATATTTTTTTTAACTAAATAAAATACACTATAATGCATGATATATACAGGGTGAGAAAAAAAAACGAGATGTATTTTATTTCGCTACTCCTGATGGAACATCAATAAATAATTTTTAATACAAAATCAACTAAAATTCTCCATTTGTGTTAGAGTTGCAGACACAACTTTTATGATAAACTCCTAACGCCAACTAATAAAAAAGCGAAAGAGAAATAATGCATTTATTTTCAAAAACCGAAAATGGTTCAATAAATAAATATTCATTGCGGGTAAGGGTGTAAGCATCAGAGCACACTTGACTATAAAACTTTTTTGATTATATTGTGTATTGCTACCATTTGGTCATCATGCTGTTACCGAAAATAAATAATATAAAATTGTGGTTTTATTAATATCTACACAACTGATAAAACCGCCATATTAAAAAATAGTTAATATCTAATAAACATCCGAATAAAATGATAAAAAGATTAAAACAAATAAATATAACATATTTATAAACTCTTCAATTATCACAAAACCGCCAAAAAGTTAAAAAAAAATTGAAAAATGTTATGGAACAGAACATATCGCACATCACCTTCAAAGCTGTATTATTAGTTCATTGGGGATTTTTGCTTGGAAAAAAGTCAGGAAGTTATGAAACTTTGCAGGTTTATAGGTTTTGGAGTCCCTAACATAAAATCCATAAAATGCACATTCCGAGACTTGTCGCCGGCGCCGCCATCTTGCCAAAATGGCGCCCAAAATCGGCATTTTGTAAATATCTCGAAAACTATGCGTTTTTCGCAAAAATTTGAGGAGAGCAGAATTAAAGAGAATAAAATTTTCTATAAAAAAGGTTCTATGAAAATTTTCGCTAAAGTCAACCGTTTAGGCACAAAATCCCTGGAAATTTTACAATTTTGCGTAAACTATGATATGTATATGTATAGTCGATTTTCCGAAATCAAATGTCGATTACGGTTCACTAAAACTAGTTTTAGTTTAGTTTCTTCAATTTTGACATGAAACAGTGGCATATCATTAATTCGCTCATTAATTTATGAATAATTAATTTTAATTATTGAATTTCCAATAAAATTGAATACGATTTAAAACATATTTTTATTATTTCGGGCAGTATATTCTATGATACCAGTCCCCCATTTCTCTACTCATGTCATGCTGACGTTCTGAAAAATTTATCTGCCACTTTGTCAAAAGCAAAGTTGTTTTATACAATGTCACAATAACCTTAAAATGTCAAAATTCTTGACACATAAATATACACTGCCCAAATGTTCGAAAAAATGTGTAAAGAGTCGTATTCATTTTTTTTGGAACCAGCTGTACATGGCGCATTTATTTTAACGTGGTCTCCCCGGAAGCCTACTCCACTAGGTAAATTAAAAACTTTAACTCAAAGTCGATCGTGTTTGCTGTGTTGGGCTCATCAGGGTGGTCTCTCAATTCGTCCAACTCTTCATCTTCAGCCGCCAGAGATATCTACAGGCAAGTCCAACTCCTCTTCATCGGATTCGTCGAGTGACACTTCAGTGAAGTTGTCACAGGATTTCCCATTGCAGTATGCATAAATCATTGAACATTTTAATCCTGCATTTCTGCATCCGCAGGCTTTACCACAGTTGTTGGTTTTGCATTTACAGGATAAAAATGCCAATAGGGATTTTGGAGCTGGATCTGTCAACGTTGTGACTGGAGTAATGCCTGTTTTTGTTTTCTTCCAATCCCATTCTTTGGCATCTTTGGTACAACCAGACCAATGCTGAACCTGGTGGTAAGTTCGCAATGAATGCTGTCCAGCACGACAATTAATTATTCATAAATTAATGAGCGAATTAATGATACGCCACTGTTTCATGACAAAATTGAAGAAACTAAACTAGAACTAGTTTTAGTGAACCCTAATCGACATTTGATTTCGGAAAATCGACTATACATATATCATACCCTTGATTATAGATGTATAGACAAGGATCATACTTTACGCAAATTTATAAAATTTCCTGGGATTTTGTGCCTAAACGGTTGACTTTAGCGAAAATTTTCATAGAACCTTTTTTATAGAAAATTTTACAAAAATTGTATTAAATTACTTATATTAATTACTTATTTAGTTAAGAGTATTTTTATTTTTATATTTATCCTGAATTGATTAGCACTATAAATGAGGACCCACTCAATTCGTAACAATATAATTTAATATAATGTATCACACATTATATTAATTGTGTTCTAATTATATCCTTAAAAGAAATTAATATTTTTAAAGTGATCATAAAAATGCTTTATCAAGATACTTTATGTTAACGCTACTTATACTATTGTACTATTTGACATTCTATATTTTATAATTAAATAATACACAAATAAAATACGAATAAATTTTATTTTAAAGCTTCCCATTAACTGCTAGTACTGGTTTAAATTGTTACAAAAACTTAATGCAAAAATGAAAGTTTATTCTCCAATAATAAATATTATTTAAATGCGCGTATACCCAAAATTTCAAATTTTAGGGTTTGCAATGATGCAGATATCTAGGATAGAGACACACTTCTCTAATATGATACCTGTTCAAAAGCCAACACACAAATCTTTCCAGACCTAAACCATATCCACCATGTGGGCAAGTACCATATTTTCTTTGATCAGTATACCAGAAATAAGGGGTTGGATCTATACCCTCCCTTTTATACCTGTAAAAAAATGTTTTATTAAATAAACAAAAATATATATTTACACCGAATGACAACAAAACTGTTGCACACGTCGCAATTATGCATAAAAAGATATGGCAAAGTCCAATCCTCAACAATTCAGCTATTAGCGAAGACGATATTTTGACATTACGTTTATCTAATTTACAAGAACGGCACCACAAAATAGAATTGCTTGATTTTGGAAGTCCGACAGCTATGAATGACTCAAAAATGTAATCTAATTTGGCCGTAGGTAGTAGTGATGTAAACTTTAGTTACTTATATGGACTCGTAACTACTAGTTACTTTTGGTAATAGGACTCGTTACTTTAGTTACTCGTTACATTGGTACTTAGTATCGTTACTTTATAATCGTTTTGTGTACCGGTTGGAAGACTTGGGCTTGACTTGGATCTTCGTTACTTATTGTGCGCGGCGATCTTCGTTGCGTGCTCGGTTTAACCTATAAGGGGTTTCTATTTTCTGCTAGTGTAAGGGCTTAATAGGCTATTTTCAATACTCGGTATTCAAGTACTGAATAATATGTTTTTAATAATATGTAGATATGTTATCATTATGTATTAATAGGATTAAAAATAAAAGAAAACGAACCACACAAAGAAAATATGTGTATAATCAAAGAATATCTTAATACCCTAGAAGTATCGTCTCGCATCAAAATCTGACCTGTCGATGGGGCCTCGCTTTGGCGAGCGAGGCCCCAACTTCGTGGGGCCTCGCTATTTTGCTCGGAATTGAACGAATAGACGCGCGGCGTTGCCTTGTTTTGTGTGTACTTTCTTGAATAGTTTTAAATTTTATCTATTGCTATAATCAGTCTTTCCGTTCTCCGCACTCCGCAGTTTACATATAATATTATCTTATATAATTCCCGTGTTACAGTTTTGGTTACCGTACTCCTCCGAAACGGCTTAACCGATTTTGATGAAATTTTATATGTATATTCAGTAGGTATGAGAATAGGTAGTTATATATTTTTTATACCCTTAAGCGATAAGGGTAGAACACCCCCATTTTTTTATTTTGTGAAAAAAAAAATATTTTTATTTTTTTTATTTGGCATTAAAAAATACAAACAACACTAAATTTTCACCGTTCTACCTTCATCCTCTATTTTTTAATAGGGGTTGTTTTTTTAATTTTTTGTTACCATCTCCGAAACGGCTTAACCGATTTTGATAAAATTTTATATGTATATTCAGTACGTCTAAGAATAGCTTGTTATCTATTTTTTATACCCTTAAGTGATAAGGGTAGCCGAGAGTGTAGCCCACCCTCATTTTTTTTATTTTTTAAAAAGAAAAAAATGTTTTTATTTTTTTATTTGGCATTAAAAAATACAAAAAAAACCCTAAATTTTCACCGTTCTACCTTCATCCTCTATTTTTTAATAGGGGTTGTTTTTTTATTCTTTTGTTAGGTACCATCTCCGAAACGGCTTGACCGATTTTGATAAAATTTTATATGTATATTCAGTACGTCTAAGAACAGGTTGTTATCTATTTTTATACTCTTAACTGAAACGGGTAGCCGAGAGGGTAGCCCACCCTCATTTTTTTTTAGTTTTTGAAAAGAAAAAAATGTTTTTATTTTTTTATTTGGCATTAAGAAATACAAACAACCCTAAATTTTCACCGTTCTGCTATCATCCCCAATTTATAATAGGGGTTGTTTTTTATTTCTTTTTGTTGCCATCTCCGAAACGGCTTAGCCGATTTTGATGAAATTTTATATGTATATTGAGTAGGTCTGAAAATATAGGTTGTTATATATTTTTATACCCTTAAGTGATAAGGGTAGCCCACACCCATTTTTTTTATTTTTTGAAAAAAAAAATATTTTATTTTTTTTTATTTGGCATTAAAAAATACAAACAACCCTAAATTTTTACCGTTCTACCATCATCCCATATTTTCTAATAGGGTTTTTTTTTGTTACCATCTCCGAAACGGCTTGGCCGATTTTGATGAAATTTTATTACGTATATTGAGTAGGTCTGAAAATAGTTTGTTATCTATGTTTTATACCCTTAAGTGATAAGGATAGCCCACCCCCATTTTTTTTTATTTTTTGAAAAAAAAAATATTTTAGTTGTTTTTATTTGGCATTAAAAAATACAAACAACCCTAAATTTTCACCGTTCTACCATCAACCCCTATTTTTTAATAGGGGTTGTTTTTTTTAAGTTTTTTGTTACCATCTCCGAAACGGCTTAACCGATTTTGATAAAATTTTATATGTATATCCAGTACGTCTAAGAATAGGTTGTTATCTATTCTTATACCCTTAAGTGATAAGGGTAGCCGAGAGGTTAGCCCACCCTCATTTTTTTTTATTTTTGAAAAAAAAAATATTTTTTTTATTTGGCCTTAAAAAATACAAACAACTCTAAATTTTCACCGTTCTACCATCATCCCCTATTTTCTAATAGGGTTTTTTTTTGTTACCATCTCCGAAACGGCTTGGCCGATTTTGATGAAATTTTATTACGTATATTGAGTAGATCTGAAAATAGTTTTTTTATCTATTTTTTATACCCTTAAGTGATAAGGGTAGCCCATTCCCATTTTTTTATATTTTGAAAAAAAATATTTTTTTATTTTGCATTAAAAAATACAAAGAACCCAAAATTTTCACCGTTCTACCATCATCCCCCTATTTTTTAATAGTTTTTTTTTAAATTTTTTGTTACCATCCCCGAAACGGCTTGACCGATTTTGATAAAATTTTATATGTATATTCAGTACGTCTAAGAATAGGTTGTTATCTATTCTTTATACCCTTATGTGGTAAGGGTAGCCGAGAGGGTAACCCACCCTCATTTTTTTATTTTTTGAAAAGAAAAAAATGTTTTTTTTAGTTGGCATTAAAAAATACAAATAACCCTAAATTTTCACCGTTCCACCATCATCCCTATTTTTTAATAGGGGTTGTTTTTTTTTAATTTTTTGTTACCATCTCCGAAACGGCTAGACCGATTTTGATAAAATTTTATATGTATATTCAGTAGGTCTGGTTTGGTTTGGTTTGGTCACAATCTATTCCTAGGTTGTTATCTATTTTTTATACCCCTAAGTGATAAGAGTGGTCCACCCCAACTTTTTTTTATTTTTTAGACAAAATTTTTTATTTTAATTGTTTTATAGGGAGTGCTTATTTTTTAGGAGGTGCATGTCCAAAATTTTCTTATGGGTACTCACTTTCATCACTTAAGGGACCTCTGTACAAAATTCCATACTCCTAGTCCTAGAACGGATTTTACATAAAAATTATACAAATTTTTACCCTTAGTTTTATCCCCTTAAGGAACGAATTCCAAAAATCGCTCTAATTATTCAATTACGCTACATAATAAACCTCTGTGCAAATTCTCATATTCCTTGAACAGAATTTATTGTTCCAGAACGTTCAACCCCTCATTTCACACCCTTAGAGGGCGAATTTCCAAAAATTGCTTCTTAGTGCTAAATTACGTTACATAAGGAACGTCTGCAAAATTCATACTTCTAAAACCGATTTTAAAAAATTTTTATTCAAATTTTCATCCCTTATTTTTTAGGGGATGCATGCCTAAAATTCGCTTCTAGGTACTCACTTTCATCATTTAAGGGACCTCTGAACAGAATTTCATACTCCTAGTCCTAGAACGGATTTGACATAAAAAATTATACAAATTTTCACCCCTAGTTTTACCCCCTTAAGGCATGAATTCCAAAAATCGCTCTAATTATTTAATTACGCTACATAAGGAACCTCTGTGCAAATTTTTATATTCTTTCAACAGAATTGTTTCAGAACGTTCACCCCTCATTTCACACCCTTAGAGGGTGAATTTCCAAAAAGTGCTACTTAGTGCTAAATTACGTTACATAAGGAACGTCTGTGCAGAATTTCATACTTCTAAAACCGATTGTAACAAACTTTTGTACAAATTTTCATCCCTTATTTCTAGAGGATGAATGTCAAAAATTAGCTTCTAGATACTCACTTTCGTCACTTAAGGAAACTCTGTACAAAATTTCATACTCCTAGAACTAACATTTTTTGTACAAAATTTCACCCCCCCAGTTTCACTACCCTTAGGCTATACATTTCCAAAAATCGCTTATCAATGTTCAAATGCGCCACATCTGTGCAAAAGTTCATACTCCTAGTTTTTGTATAATTACACCCCTTTATCTAATTACACCCCCTTATGGGTCGAATTTTAAAAAATTTCTTAATAGTGCTCAGCTTAGAGAACGAATTAATATTCTCCGTATTTACTCCAGTTTCCTAATACTAGCACAGATAACACATAATCATACTAGTTAATTTTTTATTGGAATAGAAGTAATTTTTATTAGAGGGTACAAAAAAATTAAAAATCTAAAATTTTATTTTCATAGCTACGTTTTTATAGCCTTAGGATGCCTCATGTACTAACGAATACGAAATATATAATCAATACATATTTCTTTAAATATCGAGAAATAAAATATGTTTTGGCAACACCGTACGAAATATCGCCGCGCGTAGTCCTCAAAATTTAAAATATTAGCATTTTCAGGCTTCGATTATGTTCAAAAGCGCCACCGTGTGACAAATCACTAAAGCTTCCACACGAGAGTTCTTTTGGTATAATATAAAGTATTCTCTCTCTCTCTCTCTCTCTCTCTCTGACTATCTCTCTTTGTATTTTACATTAATAATTATGCAAACATTAAAGACTAAAAATATAAAAAATTTATATATTAAATTTTGTTAAAATGTAAAAATATTTAAAAAATATCTATTCCTCTGTGGCGGATTCATCTCTTCAAAAAAGTCCTTTGGATTAACGCCCCAGCAGTGTTTACTAAAAATTACTATTCTTATTTTGTAGATTTTCTTACAGTGTAAGTGATGAAATATCTATTATTTTTTGAAGAGGAAAACATTCGCTCTGCTTTTTCAGATAATAACATTTTTTGTGAATAACGTGAATCCATTTTTAATTAATATCTAAGACATATTAATCTAAATAAACAATTCTATTCTTCGCCCACCGAACAACTATAAATAAAAAAATAAAACACACTCTACCCCTAAATAATATCTTATATTCCTTATCTCAACTAAAATTGAAAAAACGTGCGGAATTACCTAAATAAAAAGCGACAACAAACGGCAAAGGGACAGACCGCTGCTGGGTGGGCATAAGCGAATCCCCCCCCCCCATAATAATTGTAATAATAATATCACACATTTGCCATCCAAAGCACCGGCCGACGCACGGTGGGGTATTAGCATGAAAAAGGTGATCGAAATTCGAAAAAGCAAATGTGTTTAAGATTTCACAAAAAAAGATAAATGATAAGTTAAATCATCTCTGCCATGAATGGCGTTGCTATGGGTGTGTTTAGTTGCATTTATTTGTTTCAACGAAACGTCAAAGTTGTTACTTCTCACAGATAAGAGGTAAATGTGGGTAAATGGCTAAATTTTATGTTTAAAATTATAAATTGTTGTTGTTCTTGTGCTCTTTTTACGTTGATATTATTGTTTTGATTGAAAATGGCTCAGCAAGCTGCAGGTATATATTCTACAAAAACGTATTATTTATTTTGATATTCTCTATACTAACGATTTTTTTTGCAACTAAAAGTTAGGCGTTCAGAAAATTTGATTAAATTTGTGACATTTTTATTATACTTAGAGATTTAGTTGCGCATTTCGAAGAATTCAGCATATTGTCTATATACGTTTTACTTAGTAAACATTGGGCTTTCATACAGTAAAATAAAATACTGCGACTTTTTGCGATTTTGCTGATAAAATGAGAAAAACATTCTTCGTTTCCTCTAATTTGCCAATCAGTGATATACTAATGCGAAGTGTAAACCGCGATGGCATTGTTGTGTACAAAGCGATCGCATTAGTGCCATTAGCAGTATAGCACAATTTGGCATTAGTAGCGACTTTAGTGGTATGGGCATTGCTCGCGGATCAGTCGTAGCATTAGTAGTAGTAGTTGCGATATTACTACTGGCACTGACCGTGGAAACACTGGAACAGTGATTTTTTTTTCTTTTTTTAGAATCGACGAATTATCTTTTATTTTGTTCATATTATTTCCTCTTTAATTGAAAAAAGCAATAATTTATATAAGGTCTACATAAAAAAATTTCGATCAACTATCAGTGTCAAATACCCCACTGTGCGATGTCAAGTCAACATTTTAAACATAAACACATTGATAACAACTAAACCTACGTTAAAGTAAGGAATATTTCAGTATCGAGTTTCGAGTCCTCAGTTTATGCATTTCCGGGGATTACGATTACTGCCAGCGCAAAAGTAACGAGTCCTAAATTCAAATGATAAGCGTTACTTCGAGTCCTCGTATAGTAACTGTTACTTTGTAAAGATTACTTATAATTTTTACATCACACAATTTGGTTTCAACCTTTTTGTTTGTTTTGTTTTCGATTTTCTCTGTTTTTTAATGATAATAATTTTTATGACTAACAAACAACCCTAACAAATGAACAACAACCCAGTGATTACTGCTTCGAGTCGAACTTACAACAATTTGTAAATTCGATCGTAACATAACTTTTTAGTTATGCTATACACCATAACTGATTGTAGTAAGATAAATATATATTGTAAGCTAATTCATATTTATATTTTTTTAATAAATACTGTATCTCAATTGACGGCATAACGTAACAAAATGTCAAAAAAGTCTTCTCTACTTAATTAGCGGCATGTAGTAACGTTATTATAGTGCATAAACGCTTATTTAATTTGTCAAATTGTCTCTCTTAATATCGCATATCTTTGTCATATCTCTCAACAGTTATAACAGACTTATGTTAAAATCAAAAACAAAGTCCAAATCACTGTCAAAAAATTCTTTATTAGTGACCGCTTTCGGTAATTCCTGCTGATCGTTTGACTTTATATATAAAATAAATTGCAAACCTATGACAATACAACAGAAAAATACTCTATAACAATTTTTCTCTTGTATTGTCGTAGGTGTGCAATTTATTTTATATATATAAAGTCAAATGAACAGCTATTATTGACCAAGGTCTGATGAGGTCATGGCCGGAACAGCGATTTTTTAATAACAGGTACAAGTTGTTCCAGTTACAAAAGATACCTGTTCCAAGAAACCTGTTCCATTTTCAAACTGTTCCAAGAAACCTGTTCCATTTTCAAACTGTTCCAAAACGAAAATTGATACCGTACTTGCGTCATTCTGATTCGGTTGCTATTTTTCTGTTTTCTCTAAATTTAATCTACTATCTATGTTGCTATATTACCAAGATATAATGTTTACTAATAAAGAATTTTTTACAGTGGTTTGGACTTGGTTTTTGATTTTAACATTAAGTTTTTTACCATGGGACATCACTTTGAGAAAATGAACAAACTACAACTTAGAGATAGATGTATCTGGGCTAAAAAACTTAAGTGTTCTTGATCTATTGAAATTTTAACACCATTAAATTTATACGATTATTAATGAATCCTCTATCATATCCAATAATAAGATATTTATTATAAAATTGGACAAAACGTAAACTACTAACCCTTCCAGTAATTCCTGGGGATCCCATATCCTCATAGAGCCTCCAACAATCTCCCCTACATTTGGAAGTAAAACATCAACACTCTCAGTTAATTTAGAGTCCTCAGGACACTTGCTCATATAGAAGGACTTTATATTTGCTGGGAATCTACAAAGCATGATGGGTTTGTTTATCTGGTCGGTCATTTTCCTTTCAGGCATTTCTGGGATGTCCTAGAAAATAACCATCTGTATAACATAGTGTCTTATTGAAAATAAAAGGATTTCGGACTTCCATTGTCTTTATTTATTTTGATTAACACAACGTTTTGGTAAGAAGGATCACTTACCATTATCAAGTGTAAATGATCATGAGACTTTTGACGGAAACGTTGTGTTAATCAAAATAAATAAAGACAATGGAAGTCCGAAATCCTTTTATTTTCAATAACGAATCATTGTCTACCACATTCAAACAGTGTCTAAAATTATAAAAATAAAAATTAAATGTATAATAACTTTTAACAGGCTTGTATACAGAACTGTCGCAGTTATATACATTTGGCATTAAATAAAATTCGAAAAAAAACGGCGTCGACGATGGCTATGAAATAAAGATCGCTGTCATTTTTTTCCGATTTGGACATCGATACTGTGCGGTCTGGATTTTAATGTGTAAGACTGTGATGTAGACAGCTTAATGGAAAATCAAAGGTATTAAAAAGAGATAAAAATTGGGTTGATACATTTCTTCTATGGCGGATTTTGCATCAAAATTTCAAACCGCACAAGTAGGCATTTACCAAAAATTTTGCATCTAGAGTTAGAACTTTATTTTGCACTATTAATTAGTTACTCATTTTACTACCGCTGTAATAGATTATATTTAGCTTAGATATTTAGATATATTATTTTCATTTCAGTTGTATACATAAAACCATGTTAGCATCATCAGCAGATGATTAATAAAAAACAAATACAAATTTGTATAACTGTAAACATAACTTCTGACAAGCAGTTTCCGTTTAGGTTTAAAGCCAGAAGTGTTTACAAAAAATAACTATTTTATTTTGTAGATTTTCTTGCAGTGCAGTGGCGAAATACCAATATAGGATTTTTTGGAGAGATGAATCCGCCACATAGGTATACACATTTTTTTATTTATATTATTCTCTGTCACACGCATTAAAATCCAGACCACATAGTTTCGATGACCAGCAGGGTATGTAAAATTATATGGGGAATGTCATCGATCGTTATTTCTAAGCCAACTAGACGCGGTTTTTTTTATCGATCATACGGTATTAAGTTAGTAATAAGACTGTATATTACGTAACAATTATGACAATTATTTTGTACTTACCTCTCCGAACTCATAAAAACTTCCGTCTTCTTTTGTAATATTGTTCTTTTTCAAATATTCAATAGCCTCAGAGTAGTTCATTCTCAAAAAAGGTCTAGTCGGAACTTGGAAGTTTGGGTTCAATTCGTACACAATATCTCCATAGGGCGATTTTAAAACTCTGTCTACTACATCACAAATAAGATCTTCCAGTCGATCTAAGAGATCGTCAAATGATATAAAGGGACACTCAGCTTCAACATGTGTGTATCTGTGTAAATTGTAAAAAAAGTATATGCAACGATATGTTATTAAAAGTTTTACAATTTAAATAATAATCAATTATTTTTATAACTATGGGTTGTCTAATTTTTTTCACAAATCAAAACCTTAATTTAATTTCTAATATATTTTGGGAGATAACACCAAATTGTCGTAAAAAATCCACATAAAAGTCTTTTCAGTCTAAGGACCGTTTGACACGGGACAATATTCCAGCCTAAATTATATACAATTTGTTGCGCGCGCATTTTTAGTCAAATTGCATGCAATAAAATAGAACATGTTCTAAATTCTTGCATGCAATTAGCTTGACATGCGCAATACATAATTTCATTTCTCTGATTTTGTAAGGTTATGTTTATGTTACATTTGTTTGTTAAGTTGATTTAACTTACTTACTAATTACAGTCAGTAAAAGCCTCACAATCGAACAAAGCAAACATAAACAATTAACTTAACAAACAAATGTAATACAAACATATAACCTTACAAAATCAGAGAAAATTAAATTATGTATTGCGCATGTTCAGCTAATTGCATGCAAGAATTTAGAACATGTTCTATTTTATTGCATGCAATTTGACTAAAAATGCGCGCGCAACAAATTGTATACAATTTAGGTTGGAATATTGTCCCGTGTCAAACGGTCCTAATCATGTATTGAGACATTCATACATATTTCTTGCATACAATATTTTATAAAATATAACCCAAACTATTTTTCAGTTCTTAAATTTAAGTCCCGTGTCAAACGGTCCTAATTCTCATCAAAAAGTTTATCATAATTATAAACAAAATATATAAAAATTATAAGTATAGAGCGAAACATGTATTTTCTAAGATTGAAAATACTTTGTAACGTGGCGATAGGAGAAGCTGCTTGCAGGGTGGCACATTAGTGAGGAAGTGAAATATCGTCGTTGTCGAACAGGGTGGCCCACTGTATTTTTCCGATTTTTCTTTATATTTCAATAATTTTTCTACTACCTATTCTATATTTTTAACTAGTTAAATATTTGAGGCGTCAGGTTGAAAACCCCACCTTATCCCAAAATCGTTGTTTCGAGATAATAAGCAAAAACTGTTTTAGCAAATGTTTGAAGTGTTATTTTACAAAAAAAAACGTGTCCATTAAGTAGAATCGTTGTTTTGTATCTGGTTAATGTAGAAATAAAAATTAATATTTAATTTTTAAAGAGAAAAAGCACAAAAATAATTCAATGCATATGCAACATAACCCGCCTTATCCGAATTATTTTTGTTTTCTTCTCTTCAAAACTTAAATATTCATTTTTATTTCTACAAAAACCAGATACAAAACAATGATTCCACTTAATGGACACGTTTTTTGTGTGCATTTTGTATGCGGGTTTTGCTACAGCAAAATATTTGCATCCTAACTTGGAATTATTAGTGTGCTATTTAATTAAAATTAGGTAAGGATTTGAAATGGATAAGACGTCAGTAATAATTCTATATTTGTGTAAAAAGCCCATGAAAAAATGCGGGATTTGCAATAATAATGACCATAAAAAGCAAATATAAGTGGATAAGACAGATTTTGCTGCAGTAACGTAATTTGTAGTGAATTTTATATAGGAATGGGGGACTTTTACTGCAGTTTGGGACTATGTTTATGTAGATTTTAGGGTCCACTATTAATGTATATCATTAGGCCATTTTTTTTTAAATATGGATAAGGCGGGTTTTGAACTTGACGCCTAATTTGTTAACGAGCAAAATAAAACGTCTTTGAAAACGTCAAAAAATCATGAAAACTGTCAATTTTTAAAAAAAATTAAAAATTAAAATAAATGATATCCCCTAGATTCATATATTAAAAAACGCAAGACCGCTAGGGGTGATATTGAACTTGAAATTGTGCTTTTCGCCTATTTTTGAACCTTTTATTAGGGCTTTCATCAACAGGTAAAACGAATTTAAACTGACTTATAAGATTCTAGACCTATGTGCTATAAGAATACCTATATGATTATTATCCGATTATTGAGGCAAATTTTGAAAAAAAAGAATGTTTTTTAGAATTGAAATAATTTTTGTGTCAGTTTTACTTATATTTTAATCAAAAATGGGCAAACCATATTTTTTTAAAACATATTTTGTCCACGCACGATTGTTCTGAATACGCTGGAGCTCTTATCTGTCGACATGCCATCAAAAACCGCGAATAAATCAAGTAGTAATAGGCGCGGAAATAGTGCGCTTTAATTCTGAAGTTTTGATAATGTTCGCGATAACATGCAAACACTTGTTTTTAAAATTCGGGCTGTTGTTTATTGTTGTTATCCAATAATTTCTTTAAGATGGACTGTGAAGCTTCAGGTTAGTACTTGTTATTTATGTAATTATAATGTATTTTTCTTTTCTATTTGTAAGGAAGGCTTGTCGTGGAATAAATTTTATTCATTTTTTTGTGTAAATGACTAGTTTGTGTGAGGTCTATAAAAAAAGTTCCACCTAGTACCATTTTAGTTTCTTCTCTTACAGTTAGATTAGACCTTTATCTTTACAAGCATTAAAAGATTTGCGTCCCCGATTGTCCTCCGTCTGATACAGGGGGTTTTCTTTATAGGTAGTCGGGAGAACATCGATCCGCTTTCCCCCGTAGTAAATGCGTTTTGGATATGTTGCACAATTTATTTTTTTATCATTTTTTGCCCTAATGAGTTAATTTTTGCACTAGTGCCAAAAGTTAAACTTTTAACATAGTACCTAGATAGTGAAAAAGGCTTAAGAAAAACATTTTTTTATCCAAAATGTGAAAGGATCCTGTTAATAAAAAAACTCTGTATATTTTTTGTCTATTTGATTGCTTACAATATTTCAGGCAAATTCAAGCATAAAAAATCACTTGAATATATACAACTATTTTTGGCACGCTAAACTGGCATATTTGCCGTATGTCCGCTGTAAAGAAATTTCGGGAAAATAAATCTAATGTACCTAACTAATGTTTTTTTACTTTCTAAAAAATGGCAAGTAAAATATGATTTTCAACATTTTTTATAAAAAACCTTGTTAAAAAATGTTTCTGGGTAGAAAGATTAGTTAAAATACCTTCACTTATTTATAGACATATGTGTATTTTATACATACTCGGCTAAATGTCTTCTTGTTCTGCTTTGCTCAGCTCTAAAACTTTCTGCTATACAATAGACATCACCCATTGATGGCAAACAAGTTTCTAAATAAAGTTGTGAACTTTGGGTTAAATATGCTTCTTCACTGAAAACAGCCATAATGTACGGAAAATGTTAAGTTAACTTATGAAAATTTAAAAGCGACTCACCCAAAATAATCTAATTTAAATAGTGTCGATCCTCCTTCAACCTGAGTTTGCACAATAGAAGGTGGAGTTACTTCACAATACCCTCTATCCAAGTAATGATCTCTGAAAAATATAAATGCCTAGTATATAATTCACATATACAGTGAGTAAAAAAAATAATACAGAAAACTTCATTATCTGTTTAGTTCCAGGGATAAGAAGAAAACTATAAACAGTTTTTGGGATTGTGATAAAAAAATGAAGCCGAAAATTCAATCTGCTTGTACTTTAAAATGACAGACACAACTGTCACTGTCAGGGATCCTTCTGTTGGACAGACTATATCAATAATGATTGTATAATTCTATCTAATATATATTTTTATACCTGAAAGCTTGCAAAAGAACTGATCTCATTCTAAGAACTTTTGAAGTATTCTCTCCTCTAATCATAATGTGCCTGTTTTCTGCTTGCACATCTGGTAATGCTTGTTCATTCAGAACTGCATCAGCTCCCCCTGCAGGAGCTAACCCAATCAATTCCCAATAATCAACAATAAGTTCATGACCACCAGGAGCCTAAAATATACAGTAAATAGCATCTTAAAATACATCTAATACAAATGTAAGAATATTATAAATATGTAGTGCTAAATTAATAAAAAATTGGTAACTCCTTTAATATAAATAAGAGGTATTTTTTCATTATTAGAACTATAATCTAAATTCTGACTAAAATTTAAAGAAATATATATTTAAAATTTATAAAATTTCTACCGTTTTGCCTTCAGGAACAGCCTTAAGAGTACCGTATAACAAAACAGATGACTCAGTTTGTAACGTTATAGCATTATATGTTTGGCATAGTTTATCAGTCAATATTGCTTGCAGAAATCCAGTACCATCTCTTAAAGTAATAAACATAAGATTTTTCCCTTGTCTTCGAATCCTGTGTGCCCAACCATAAATTTTTACTCTTTTTTCTCTATATCCTTTGGCTAAAAAATAGCCAAAAATATATATCAATCAAATTACAGATAATGAAGATGACACATTTTATGTTTTATAATTTACCCTTTGCAATTTTGATTCTTGCAGCTTCAGGTAATGACTTGTCTTCTTCTATAATTATCTGTTTAGCCTCATCTAAATTCTTTTCTCTTTTTTCAGCATCTTCCTGTTCTTTCTTATTCTTTTCTGCTTGTTTATAATTTTCTCTAACCTGCGAATTATTAATTACAGATATAAGTAATACCTGTGGTAATATTCACACACATACAATTCAAATTAAAAATAATTAAGAAATTACCCAAATCTTTTGAATTTTCTTCAATTGTGATTTTGCAACAAGCTCATAGCGTTGTTCTTTACCATCAACATATATGGGTGGAAAAGGTTCTGATCCTGCTTTTCGCATAGCTTGTAATATTGTTTTAAAAGGTGACTGTTCCGTTCCATCACCTGTCTCATCATTTCCACTCTTCTCAGATGTGTAAATAACTGCAAAGTCAAAGATTTAATTTATATCCAATGAATTATTATGTTTAGTTGTCTTACATGAACTACTTTCCTCAGACATATCTGTAGTCTGTAAAATCAATTTCCACTTTCCACTTTAATAGAAGATAATTGCACTAAATGCCGACAATACCAACTAGGTCTAGAACAACATTAAGTAATGTCTAATTATATACATGTGGCATGTTCATTTCTGCAAACATGGAGAATTATGCTATGAAAACAAAAAATTAAGAATTATAAAATTATATTTTTAAAGTCTTATCTTTCAATGGCTATATTCTCCAAAATTTACAGAAATAGAACATTCAAATTATTTTCATGGGAAGTAGGGTTGCCAAGTTTTTCAAAAGCAAGGGGAGGACATTTCCCTGTTGAAGCAGGGTGAAGGGGGGGGGGTATACAAATATTTGGATTGCAATACTGCATGAACGATTTATTGAAATAAAACAAAACACTTTTTTTAAAGAAAAATAAAAACTAGGTATCTACATAATGAATAACAAGGATAATCTTATAAAAGCATCCATATCAATATAACCCTATATTACCAACTTAACATCATCTCAGGTATATACATACTATGGAGTCTAAAAGGAGGAGGCGAATCGAACGCAAAAATTATGGGCCCAGTTTTTGAGATCTAAATGAAGTTCGAAAATCGCCGTTAGGGGCGCTTGTGATGATTGGGATACTAGAAATACACAGCTTCTTATGGCAAGAATAACTATTTTGTTATAAATTATAGAGCCAAGTTAATATTTGGGCATGCAAAAGGAGGCAGGAGGACTTTTCTTCTAAAAGGAGGACTGTCCTCCCGAAAGGAGGACATTTGGCAACCCTATGGGAAAGGGCTACTTTTTGATAATAAGATTGGCTGATGCAATCTTCAATGCAACTGCAAATATATGCAATTTGTCATTTGACTCAGTTTGACTAAAATCTTGTTAACATAGATATGGATCTTAACAACTTACCTTTAATGAAATAAAAGATATCTAGATAGATTTTTCTATAAACACAAAAAGAGAATTAAATTTAATGAGTAAATCAAATCTCAAAAAATGTCTCAAAACATATTGGGTTAGAAAATAAATTGGTAATTTCAGTGAAGTGAACAATAATAGTTTGCATTATTTTTACTTCATAACATTTAATTTTTTTTTGTTAATTCTTGGGTGTTACCTTTAATGCCTTTATCCTTTATTTAAGAATTTTACACAAACATACGGTATTGAACATATAAATGGGGTTAAACTTCTTTGACAGCCAGCTTCAGCTTGGCATAATCGCTATACACCACAGCTATACACTATGCCAGCCACATGCCAGCTCATTCCTAATATTTCTTGTTTATATATGATCAGGCCATATATAAAAATATTCTTTGTTTTTTTTTATTTTACTTCAATTTACAGCCCAACTCTACTTTTAACTAACTTCAGCCAGTGCCTTCTATTAAAAGATCAGCCTAGGGGCGGACTTTTGTTTACTTCATCAGCTGTACATACTTAGATATTGGGTTAGATCAAAGGTTAGATTCTGTTTCATATTTTGTCGGTTGATTTTTGGTTTTAACTCTATGATTTATGGTATTATTTATTATTGTAGTGCAAAAAACTAATTATTTACTAATTATTAACTAATTATTACTACCAGATATATGGTCACTCTCGGTTTCGCATAAAAAAATAGAAAAATTAAAAAATTACACGTTGTGTAAGTGATTTAACCTAAAAGTGCCCATACATTTTTTACTCATCGTGATTTTTGTGTGTGTATTTTAAGACTCTAACAATTCATCAATAAAGCTTAAGTGGAGTGTGTTTTTGGTGCTATGCCTCATCTTTGTTGTGTTCCTGGTGGAAAGGATAGTTATACTAGGCAGCCTAAAGTGTCCGGAAGAGCAAGAAAAGTGGGTACGAGTTATAAATCAAGAGAATTCTATTGAAAATATCTTTAGTAAATTTAAAAATAATATTCTCTCATGATGGTATTAATGAAAACTGGACAATTATGTTTATTTTATTCATATTGTGGAATCTCCACTCCAAGTGTTGTTGGTTCAGCTTCGATAGATTTAAACACGTAAGTAGGTATTATGATCTAGGGAAAAATAAAGAATAAGTATATTAAAGATCATGAAAAAGATTATTATTTTGAGTTCAAATTTTAAAAAAGATTTTTGTAAAGACAAGACTGATACAGTTTAAAAGAAGAATGTGTTTTTGTTTGATAATATATAATGTATGTCAAGCATAACATATATTTGTGCAGTAATTTTTAATGAATAGAGTTGATTATTTATAATGCCAAATTAATATCAAATATTTAAGTGATGGCTGAATACAATATGAATAAAATAACAATAAAATTGGTATATTTGCATAATACAAAATTAAGTTTTAAGAATAAAGGTGTTACTAAAAATACCAAGAAATTAATATTTCTTTGTTTTAATTGGTCTAATGTTATTTACATTTTATGTAAGAATTATACCGTATCATCGAAAAAAATCGGCGTCTAGTTGGCTTGGAAATGAACATCGATGATATTCCCTAAATAACTGTACACATAAAATAATTAACTAGAATTTTACAATCTTGGAAAATTTGATATTCTTGAACCTTGTTTCTAAATATTCTAAATTTTTTGATTTTCTTGGGATTTAGGTTCGGGAAAAACGATGATTAAGTTTTCATTTGGTTTTTCATTATTTTTATTTGGTTTAAAAAAAACGTTTCGGCTAACATTATAGCCTTCATCAGTGTTGTGTCATATGAAAAAAATAGTGTCGAATATAAACCAAAAAATTACATATAAAATATTCACACCACGCACATAATGTTTACTGCGTACTCCATAGTCAATGTAGATAATTTTAGTGTTAAGAATAATAATTTAAAAAAAATGTGGTCATCTTTTGATAAGTTTATATTAGTTTATTAATTGCAGTAAACATTATGAGGTGTGAATTATATTGTATATGTAATTTTTTGGATTATATTCGACACTATTTTTCTCATATGACACAACACTGATGAAGGCTATAGTTAGCCGAAACGTTTTCTTAAACCAAATAAAAATAATGAAAACCCAAATGAAAACTTAAATCAGCGTTTTTCCCGAACCTAAAAATCCAAGAAAATAAAATGTTTTAGAATAATTTTACATATAAAATGCCAGCGATCTTCATTTCATAGCCATCGCTGACGCCTTTTTTTAGATAATATTGTATTATTTGTAAATATAATTTTTCGAACATTGATACTTGCAAAATATACATAAAAATTTTGTGAATGCATATAATAATACATCACTATTAGTAGATATTGAATGTTTTTTGTTAAATTAGATCGATTTTCAAACCCCAAAATTTAAAATATATTTACATTTTACCCATTATCTTATGTACCTATACATTACTTGTACATTGTAAAACATTTGCTGCATTTGTATGGTTCATAGTTTATTTGCCAAAGTATTTATTACTATAAATAGGTATATATGTTGTAGTTATTAACTGTATATTATGTATATTTCATGTAAACTATATCATTTTTAAAATACAAACCAAAAATCTGATAAAAATAATTATGTTTTCCAGTATTCTACAAAATATTTATTAATCCGTTTTATCTAACTAGCGTGACGTCATAAATCTCGCCCGAGGCTGATCTTTTAACAGAAGGCACTGCTTCAGCTCTTATTGTTTTTAAAAGCGTCAACGTCAATGTCATGGAAGTTAGTTATTCTATGGTCATGGAGGTTATAATTTAGTAACCTTGAAAAATCAAAACATGACCTTTAAGAATATAAAATAAAAAGATATTTGATATTTGTATATCATTCAAAAATTTGAACAAGTTTTGAAAATTAAGAAATTCATAAGAATATAACATACCTTACTTATAATCTAAAAAGTCCATATCATTACAACTCTTCCCTTTTGCTATAATTGGCAATATGGCAATACCGGTAAAAAACCCAGTAGAAATTATACATAAAAAAAGTCCTCGCGCTTGCTTATTGCGCAACACGAGAAAAACAGTACGCTGGTAGGTGTCGGTAATGGAAATGCTAAATTTCTTAGTTCATAAGCACTTCATAAGGTAACCCTGCTAACTTGTACGCGCAATCACTATAACAATTAGTATATTCTGTGTATAACAAACAAGACAGATAACACGCAAACGTAGTGAAATAAGTTTTTCGGTTTTCTTTTATAGTAGCAAATAGTTTTTTTTTAAATATAATGGCAAGTTCTACTCAAAGTGATAAAGGTTCTAAAGCAATACATTTATATTTAGTAGCCTATAATTTTCTTCAAACTATAGGGTAAGTAAATTACAGTGTTTAACCTAAATTTAAATCTTAAGGTTTTTAAATAAAATGTTAAAGTATATTGTTTCCTCAGTACATTTGTCATAAAATACACATTCTAAAAATAAGAGTAGTGTTATACACTAAATAGTTTTTTTTTAAATAATCATGTTTAGGCTTTCTTCATACATAATGAATTTCATATCTCATATGTACATATATCAATACTGCCATGCAATACTGCATAATTGACCTTTTGAATTATAAAACAGCAAAAGAAATAATATATTTTTAATTACATTAAAGAACAACAGTGTACATATAGAGGGTGAGTCAAAACTATGTTTTATTTTCCTTTATTATTTCAAATTGAACACCCTGTATTTTACATCAACACACTTACTTTTCTGTTTTCTTTTTAAAAATGTTAGAGATTTATCATTGGTATTTTTACTAGTCGGTGTTTGTGATTTAAAATAATTAGTATACTTTTTTGAAACAAAATCTGTAGGTATGTTTCATAAGCTTTTCATTTAATTAATTAATTAATACTGTTAGTTTAATTTTAAATTACTCAATAAATATCGATTATTATTAATATAGTAAGTAGTGATATAATGAATACTCGCATTCGCAAAATTTATGCGAATATCCACCTTCGAAAAAATATGAATTTTTTATATATAATTTTTAAATTAACATAGTCTTGCAATTATTTCAATAGTAAAATTATATCTATTATTGTAATTATTTAATACAATAATTGTTTAATATTATTTGGCATAATTTGTGGCCTTTAATATACGGGGTGAGTCCTAAATAAGGGCACATATTCTCAGGGCTGGTAGATCTCGATAAAAGACACATATTATTTTCTTTTCGCGTTTTTCAAATCAAGATCAAAATAGCTGAGTTATTTTACTTACCTAGTTTTTTAACTGAAAATTAGTGGTTCTCAAAATTTAAGCAAAAATCTTTTTTTTTACTTTTCAGAGTATAAAACTCGGATTTTTGGATTTAGATTTGGACTTTTTAGATTTGAAAAACAGTAAAGAGAAAATATATTTTTTTTATCGAGATCTACCAGCCCTGTGAAAATATTTACACTTACTTAAGACTCACCCTGTATATACAATCGTCTATTTCTGGTAAAACAAGTTAAATAATAGGTACATTAACATTAGTTTTCTATTACCGATAATTTGCTAACCTCAACGATTTCATTAAATAGCTTTCCATAATAAGATTCATTAACCTTGTTAATTAATATATAGGTTTAATAATATATTATATATAATTTGTTATAGTAGTCGTACGTACTATTGGAAAAATACCGATTAGGACATTAGGAAGTACCTATTTGAGAAGTAATAATACTTTTGTTTAATGCTTCGGCTATTTACTAAATAGCTAACTATTTGAAATATGAAACTAGAAACTAGTAAAACCAGATTCATTAAAACGAAATATTTTTAGTTTTAAAACCGTACAAAGTACAAGGATATATGTTATACCTACCAATTTTTAATGCGGTGATTATTATATTTCACCTTAAATTATTTATTCCATATTTCCATCAAAATATGAAATATCAGTACATGGAGTGTATATTTTTTTATAAAAATATTACACTAGGATATATTCTACATACTACACAGGGATACAATGTACAAACATGTCTAAGTTTGCCCTTTGGCGTTTCAATAAAATATTTAAAATATACCAATAATAAGCCAAAACATCACCATTGATTAACATATTTAAATTATCTACTGAATGAATAATTTAACGATAGGTCGTGGATATTACTTACCATCACATTTATCTTGTCAGGAAAATAGTATTAATAAAAAATGTGCATAATAATTATGCTTAACGTGCGCACAAAAAATGATAACAGATCCTTTTTCTATATCTGTTAAATTAATTAGTATATACAGGGTGACCCAGCTATCCGAAAAATCGGGATTTCTTTATGTAATGTCATACAGCGAATATCTGCGAAACGTCTAAAAATTTAGGAACACTTTAAATACAAAAATGGTCACCTTTTAATTCTGCATCTGAAAGGAAAATAATATAAAGGGTGTTGTATTTAAAAAAAAATGAGATATAGCATTTTAAATATTCCGATTTTGATGACGCCATAAAAATTACTCCGCATAGAACAATATAACTAACTATTAATAAAGTTATATATTCACTCCAGCTTTTTACCACTTTTCGGATATATTTTTAACCAAAGTTTTAGTAAATAAGAAATAGAATAGCAACACCGCAGATTGCATTAAATAAAAATAGTGTACTATATGCAGAATTTTAAGCTGAATCCAATTATCTACAGAAAAATGGGAAGGAGGCAGGGTGCAATTAAAAAAAAGCTTAAAGCTTTAACTTTTTTATGATACTTCCTGTATACAACAAAGTATTTGTGGGATATGCCCCTTTATAAACCATGCAACATCTGTATAAACCTTTTTTTCATATCTTAGACAACAACGACAATTTTGTGCTTCCTCCTTCCTCGCACTAATGGGTAGGGTTCCCAACTTGAGTATCGGCGATTCCGGGACAATTGTTTTTAAGCTTTTAATTAATTAAAAGTTTTGCCCGGTTTGGCCGGGTTAATCCCGGCCAAACCGGGACGGTTGGGAACCCTACTAATGGGCCACCCTGTATATACCGATCTAATCATCGTAACTCGTAACTGCGTGGTACTGGATTTTAACGGTGTAAGACGGTGATGTAGACAGCTTAATAAAAAATCAAACGTATTAAAAAGAGATAAAAGTTGGGTTCATGCATTTCTTCTATGCGGTATTGCCGGATTTTGCATCAAAATTTCAAACCGCACAAGTAGGTAGGCGTTTACGAAAAATGTTGCATCTAGGGTTGGAACTTCTATGGTTCACAATTAGTTACTCATTTTACTACAGCTGTGATAGACTATACTTAGCTTAGATATATTATTTTCATTATTTTCAGTATACCGGGTGCGTCTCAAAAGTGGCTCACCCCTATAACTTTTTTATTTTTTCAGATAAAAAAACGAGATTTGGTATGTTAATATATGACATAAATTAGGATTGATTGACGTATTCAATTATTTTTGGTCACTTCCTGTTGCACCGGAAATGACTACAACTTTTGATTTTTAAATGGCACCTTCGGTATATTTTTACTTTATTCGATAGAAAATGACACTCTGAATATAATGACATATCATATGTCAACTTTTAACATTTTTGCTTACAAAAAAATTGTATTTTAAATTTCAATCTAGAGTGCAATTTCAATCTGTGTTAAAAATACTAATTTTTAATCAAGGAACCTTGGAAAAACAGGTTTGATCATCTAATGTTTTTCGTGTCTTGTCCTGGCCAGTTAAAAAATACCCAAATCGTTTTTTTTAAATCATATTTCAATTTTTTCAAATGGAACCATGGTGGCTTATTAGCATATTTGGAAAAAGCATTTTTTACGAATAATTTGGTACCACACACTGAATATTTCAAGTCATGAACTGCATGTTACAATTTCAAATAAACTATAAGCAAAAATATCAAAAGTTGACATATGCTATGTCATTCTATTCAGAGTATCATTTTCTATCGAATAAAGTAGAAATATCAAATACGTTTTAATTAAAACGTATTTGAGAAATATATTGTTAAGGTCAAGGTGTATTACTGGTTGCATAACTGCATTACTGCTACATAACCGCAACGTGCATTAAGGAACCTGGCGAATTCGACAGAAAGTAAAAGAAAATTACAGAATTCTTTAGAAAATTACGGAAACCATCGCCAGGGGGTATATAAGGCCCGCGCTTTGACAGTTGGACCAGTCTGAAGATAGTCTGAAGTTTGATAATACCGCGAAATACCGTTAGAATAATAGTAGTTGCATAAATTGTGTTGTAAATAGTATAAGTTGTGTGTACAGAGTGAGACAAATAAATTCGTGAAGTATTTTATCGTGAGTTTAAATAGTGAGTGCGATTCAAGAGGATTTTAAGAAGAAATTAAGTGGATTGGAAGATTTTTAGACCGAATTAGAGTATTTTTATGGTTAGTACAAGGGAGCAAGCGAAGAAAATGGAGGAAGTAAGCAAATTATTGGGCGATTTTATGGAGAATATGAGACGAGAAAAGGCAGAAGAACAAGAGAGGCTGCGAAAAGAAAAAGCAGAAGAACAAGAAAGACTCCGTAAAGAACGAGAAGAAGAGCGAGCCCGATTAGAAAGAGAAAAGGAAGAGGAAAAACTACGACGTCAACAAGAACAGGAACGGCTTGAGAACATTTTCGAAGATTTGAAAGTTCAACGACAACAAGATAAACAAGAGGAACAGGACCGGCTTGAGAAAATTTTAGGCAGTTTAGAAATCCGTCAGAAGAATGAATGGAGGGATATTTTAGAAGATATAGAGACGCACCGCCAGAAAGAAAGACAAGAAGATCAAAACCGTCTTAAGAAGAACTTTGAAGAACTAGAAAAAAGGCAAGAAATCCACCTTCAAGAAGCCGTAGAAGATCTGGAGGAACGCCTTCAGCAGAAAATGGAAAAATTAGAGATGGACCTACAGAAGACCAAGGTACAAGTAAGGACACCTGGCGCTCCTGGAACTGCGAACCTTAAGGCCCCGACCTACGATGGACAAACGACCTGGACGATGTACCACCGCCAGTTTGAAGCAGCCGCCGCGCCGCTGCCAACGGATGGACCGACCAGGAAAAAGCAGCGGCACTTGTCATCGCGCTGCGTGGCCCTGCTCTGGAACTGCTGCAAACTATTCCTGCAGCCCAACAGCAGGAATACCAAATGTTGGTCGCTGCACTGGACAGACGATATGGCGACCAACATCGACGTCAACTTTACCAGGCCCAGATCAAGACACGCCTGCAGAGGTCCGGAGAGAGTCTGCAGAAATTCGAAGCAGATTTACGTCGGCTGGTACATCTAGCATACCCAGAAGCACCGGAAGGATTTAGGGAGGAACTCGCTGCTCAGTGCT